TCTCATGATGTCTTCACATGGAGGAAGGGACCATGTCCCTCTGGGATCTCTTTTGTAAGAGGAATGATCCTGTCCATGAGGGCTCTTCCCCCATGACCTAATCACATCCCAAAGGCCTCCACCTCCTCATACCACCACATTGGGGGATTAAGAATTCAACACATGAATTTTGGGAAGATGTGAACATTCGGATCACAGCACTTACAATACATGCTGAAGTCTAATCCTGGATTACAGAATCACATGTAGGGACACTGGCCTGAGAGTCCTCCTAAAACTGTGCAGTTGTGCTTTATTGAGAAGATTCTGAAAGTATCACACAGGCACACGCTGAAGGCATGACTCCCTGTGAAGAATTTGCTAGACGGGACAAATTCTTTAAAACTATAGTAGATATCTGTCGTATTCATTTCTGCCCACCAACATTTGAGTATCTTTTCCATATTCAGGGATACAAGCATGTCATAAGTCCCACCTCCTAAATATTGAAGTCAGAATTCCAGTTTCCAGATGTCTTTTCAGCTAGGATTGAACCACGTGATCTGGGCTCTGATAACCTGATGTCACCACTAGAGATTTGATTCAGGAGTGAGTCACATGAAGGATCAGGAGGTGCTCTGAGCTTCCACTTTTGCTGGCCTGGACAGCAGCAGAGGCCTCAGCATTCAGAGGTGGTGTGGAGGTCTTGTTCCTCACTCAGAAGTGACATCAATGTGGCTGCAGTAAAGTCAAGTTCCTGTCTAAAGTGAAGTAGCAAACAGCATAGAGATACAACCCCCGCCCCTCCACTTGAGTCAGCACAGTTTAAGACATTGTTTACAGAAACTTCATCTTAAATCTATTTGCAAGCCCTGCACATGATTGTTTATTCTTTAGTATTTTCCCATAAATCCCACTTGCCTCAACACATGGGCCTTTTGTTTAACCTAGTAGATCCAGAATGCTGATGTCTGGATCTGCAGTGTCCAACAGAAGTACAATGAAAGCCACATATATAATCTTACACATTCTAATAATCACATCAAAAAATGTCAAGGGACTGTGGTGGTAGCTCAGTGGTGGAGTGCTTGCCTAGCATGTGTGAGGCAGAATGGATTCTGTTCTCAGCCACCAATAGCTCACCTGATCTGCTGGGTGTTGAGAGCCAGAGCCGAAGGGGCCCCAGCAAACTTCGAGCTGCCAGCTGATGATTGGCTCACAGCGGCCCCAGCAACTTCTAGCTGATTGGCTCCTCTGCGGTGATGCTCATTGGGCTGTTTCCCCGCCCTTTCAGACTATGGAGCTGCTCACTGGGGGACTTTTTTTGGCTCCGCCCATGCGACCCAGCCAATCAGCCTCAAGAGAGGAGGATTGTGGGAGGTTGGGAGGCTTGGGAGAAGCCGGTGGTGGCAGTTGGGCTCTGAGGGTTTTTCCTGAGGAGCTGTGTGGTGTGGTGTGTGGTTCTAAAACTAAAGTTCGTTTCTTTTGACAAGTGGTTCCTGAATTGTGCCCAGCCAGACTGCGGCAGCTGGGAATCCAGGAACACGTGACTTTGCATTCACTGCCTCTGCACCTGGGCAAGCCGTCCCAGTACAGAGGCCCAGTACAGAGGATGTTTGCCTGCACCTTGTCTCCATTTCCTTCTTGAGTTAGATGCAAAGAAGCTTGGGAGGAAAGGGCCCTTCCCTCTGACTCTCGCCATCCCAGGAGCTCCTACGGAATGAAGATGTTCTTCTTCATTGAATTTTATTGCCAGCAATTTCCACATGGCTTTGCATAGAACAGATATTCAGCAAATGTTGGATGAATGGATGGATAGATGGATAAATGGATGGATGGATGATCAAGTACAATAAAAAGGTATATCCAGCTAGATGCATAGTACAAACCTGTGCTGTCCATTAACTGTACCCACTAGACACACATAACTATTGAGCCCTTAAGATGTTGCTAGTGAAATTAAGGAATTTAATTATTTTATTTCAATGAACTTAAATTTCAAGACCAATTCCTAATGCTATTTTTGAAAAAAAAAAATTAGCTGGTTTAACTTGTATGTGTAAATATAATTTTTCAGCTGTAAACTTTAGGAAAGTTAAATTCAGATCAAATATTTCCCATAAAAATTAGCATAGGTTATAGTCAGCATTCTACCACTGTGAAAAATACCTGAGATAAACAACATGTGAGAAGGAAAGGTTTATTTTGCTTATGGTTTCCGGGGCTTCAGGCCATGGTTACATGGCCTGTGGCTTTGGGCCTGTGGTCACGCAGTACATCATGGCAGGAGCCCATGGTGGAGAAGGCCTGTTCACCACACAATGATTGGGAAGCACAGAGCAAGAAGGGGCTGGAACCTCCATATGATAAGCATGCCCCTAATGACCTATCTCCTGCCAACCAGATCTACCTCCCAACAGCACCACAGCCTGAGGACCAAGCCTTCAACACATGCGCCTTTATGAGACATTTCAGAAGCAAACTATTGAAGAATACAATTTGAGATGTGCTATAATTGTAAAGGAAGTGCCAGATGCCTGACACTCAACATGAAAAAATAACTTAAAATATGGCATTGATCTTCTAATGATTATGTGAGGAAATCATATTCTGGATCTACTAGGTTAAACAAAATATTTAAATTGATGTCACTTGTTTCTTTTTTACTTTTTTTTTAATTGTAGATGAACATAATACCTTTGTTTCTTTTGATGTGGTGCTGAGGATCGAACCCAGTGCCTCACACATGCTAGGCAAGCACTCCACCACTGAGCTACCACCACAGTCCCTTGACATTTTTTGATGTGATTATTAGAATGTGTAAGATTATATATGTGGCTTTCATTGTACTTCTGTTGGACACTGCAGATCCGGATATCAGCATGAATACCACTCAGCAGTCGGAAGGGATGCTGAGCACAGGGTATCCCTGAGCACTGGAGGCTCTAACTAGACCCCCACCTACTTCCTCAACCCCCAACCAACCCACACTCTGATCCCAACAGGCGGAAGTTCAGATGTGGGCCTCAGTTGTGAGAAACATGCTCACCTATCCAAGCCCAAAGAATGGACCCAGAGATACAAGGAAGACCAAAGGGAGGTTCTACTTTAGTAATGGTCTTGCAAGATCTGGTGCCTGGTGGTCAGGGACACACAGATTGGGTAAAAAAAAAAAAATAGTGTTTTATCCCCTAGAGCACAAGATCCCTCCCTAGTTTCTCATTGGCTGGGTAGTATGGGGTGCACAATTCCCCCAAACACCACCTAGGTCTTGCTGTCTCCTACTGGCTTACAAAATATACCTTTAGTTGTCTCCACCTCCCCCACCCCCACCCCACTTTGTTCTCTTGGGGCACTAAAGTCCCCTTGGATTGAGCACCTTTGGGCACATACAGTTTCTCTCTGTTGGTCGGTGCTGGGTGCTGGGTGGTTCCCTCTCACCTCCTGTTTGTCAAGGGGCGGTGAAGTTGTACCCTGGGTGTTAACTGCTTGTGACTTTTCATTCTGCTCGCCCCTGCAGCTGCCTTTCTTACATCCCAAGTCATTTTACACTTAAAGCTAAAAACTGTATTCTGAAAATGGACCCCTAGACTTTCTATTTCTCATACTATGATACCCACAAGGCAGAAGTCATGAATTTGTTTTAGGGACCAGGCAGTAACCTATTAAGGAAAGGGCTAGAGGTGAGGCCATAAAGCCGTGATCAATTGTTCCCTCCAAAGGCAACACACAAAGGAAAATTCTCCGGCTCAGTGAATCTTCCTTGGGTCATCAGTGTGCCATCTCTTCACAGTCTGTGGACTCAAAGGGGACCCTTGACGAGCCTGTAATATGGTCAGTTTGTTCCAAGGGTGGAGAGACTCATGCCCACAGACATGAGAGCTGTTGAGTCAGCCCAACAGCCATGGCTAAGCATTAAGTCCCCAACACCCCTTAGAACACATCTTGTCTCAGCTTTAGGTGCTGTAAATACACACAGGTTTGATTTGAGAAAGGAATGGACCCTTCTGTGGGAATCACCCAGCCTGCACCTGCCCCAGGATTTCTAAGCATCCCTCTGCCAGCCCTGGGAACCCGTTCTGAGAAATTGGAATTGGACCAGAAAGCATTCTATCCCATCCCAGAAACCCCCACGGTTTCTGTTCACAACACGGGGAGACCTGAAACCTTTTAAATGATTTGTTCCGGAGTAGGAAGGAATGCAGAGATGTCTTTGGCTGGACTGAAGGGCTGGGAAGAGCCCATGGGAGACCATAAGAAAACAGAGCAAGGGTGTCAGGGGAGGAAGGCGGCCTTCATGGGTCAATTTTGAACCAAGCAATGGGATAAAGGCCAAGGAGCCAACCCAGAGTGATCAGCAGCCCCTGGTGGGGTGGAAAGAAGAGAGGAGAGGACAAGTGGAGCCCAACTCTGTACCTTGCTTCTACAGAAAGGGAAATGAATCTGCCTGACTGATCATGCTGGACGATGTTCACACCGAAAGCACAACCTACTAAATGCTTCCCTCTAACCCTTATCCATGGGTATAATTTAACTACTCATCCCCACATTCAAATTTACCAATCAGAGCAAAATACAGTTAATAACAAAGAAAGACAATTTTCTTCTTTTTTTCTACATTTTTTATTGGTGCATTGTAATTATACATAATTCCCTGTACAGATTCACTGTTACATATTTGTACATGCACACGACATGACCAGATAATTTGGCCAATAGCATTCCCCAGCATTTCTCCTTTTCCTCCTCCCCCTCCCTGTTCTTGTACTCCATTAGTCTCCCTTCAATTTTCATGAGATCACCTTCTGTTTTTCCCCCCTTTTTCCTTTCTAACTTCCACATATGAGAGGAAATATGTGATCTTCGATTTTCTCAATTTGGCTTACTTCACTTAACATGGTGTCCTCAAGTTCCACCCAGTTGCTTATGAATGACATAATTTCATTCTCCTTTATGACTAAATAAAGCCCCATGTACACAGGTACTGAAAGCAAAAATAACCAAAATGGGGACAGACCTCATCGGATCAGCAAGGCTTTCTTTATTAAGCAACGGGAATGGCACATGTTCAGGAGACAAAATGGAAACTGGTTACAAGAGAGATCTGATTTTTATAGGGTTTAAGTGGAACTTGAATCATAGCAGAATGCATTGTTTGGTCGGTCAGGGGGAACACTTGTGCAAGTTCAAAGCCCAGCTCAGGGGGAGCAGTTGTGAATACTCAAAGTCCATTGTTGCTGGGAAGTGGTGAAAGTCCAGAGCCCATTGTTTGCCTGCTCCATCTGGGAACCATGGTCCTCCTTTCTCCTTGGAGGTTGTTGGTCCCTTTTTCCCTGGGGGTTGCTGTTTTCCATCCTTCATATACTACATTTTATTTGTCCACTGATCCACTGATGGACACCTAGGCTAGTTCCATAGTTTGGCTATTATGAATTGTGCTGCCATAAACATGGGTATGCATGTGTGGCTACAGTATGCTGATTCTTTGGGACAAATACCAAGAAGTGGTAGAGCTGGGTCATATGGTGGTTCCATTCCTACTCTTTCGAGAAACCTCCATACTGATTTCCATAGTGGCTCTACTAATTGACAATCCCTCCAACAGCATAAAAGTTCCTTTTTCTCAGTTGGTCACTGTGACACATGCCTATAATTCCAGCAACATGGGAGGCTGAGGCTGAGGCTGAGGTCTCACTAAGCAATTTAGTGAGACCATGTATCAAAATTAAAAAGGCTGGGATGTGACTTAGTGGTAAAGTGCTTCTGGTTTCAGTCCCCAGCACCCAAAGTAAAAGGACGTGTTTCTTCTCCACACCTCCTCCAGCATTTATTATTGTTTGTATTCTTGATGGTTGCCATGCTAACTGGAGTGAGATGACATCTCAGTGTCATTCTGATTTGCATTTTTCTAATTGCTAGTGTTGAACATTTTTTTCACATATGTGTTGGCCATTTGTATTTCTTCTTTTGATAAGTGTCTATTTGGTTAATTTGCCCATTTTTAAAATTGGGATGTTTGTTTTATTTTGTTTTTTGGTGTTAAGTTTTTCTGAGTTTGTTATATATTCTGGATATTAATCATCTTTCAGAAGAGTAGCTAGCAAAGATTTTCTCCCATTCTGTAGGTTCTCTCTTCACATTCTAACTTATATCCTTTGCTGTGCAGAAGCTTTTTAATTTAATGCCATTCTATTTATGAGCTCTTGGTATTATTTCCTGAGCTTCAGGAATCCTATTGAGGAAGTCTCTGCTTACACCTATGTGTTGGAGTATTGACCCCACATTTCCTTCCAGGAGTTGCATGGTTTCTGGTCTAAATCCTAGGCCTGTGATTCAAGTTGACTTCTGTTTAAGGTGAGAGATGAAGGTCTGGTTTTATTTTTCTACGTATGGATAATCAGTTTTCCCAGCACCATTTGTTCAAAAGGCTCTCTTTTCTCCAATGTGTTTTTGGCATCTTTGTCAAGGATCAGAGGACTGTATCTGTGTGTGTTTGTTTGCCTTCTAGTCTGTTCCATGGATCTATGTGTCTGTTTTTATGAAAAGGCAATTTTCATATTTTACTATACAATAGCATTCATTATAAAAAAAAGCATTAATATTTTTAATTAAGTATAGAAGCAAATTGTTAGGGTTGCCAGAGAGACTGCTGTCCCTTCAACAGATTAACAACACCTGTTTGCAAACAAAAGCATTGCTAGAATCCAGTCAAATCCTCTGTTCTCCTTTCAGGGCCAGCCTATCCATCTCTTTTGTATACAGTGTCTAACACACAGTAAGTGCTAAATAAGTATTTGATGATTGAGTGGGACATTCTTCAACCCCTTTCTTTATTTTCTGACCTTAATCTGGGTCTTCTTTCATGGGTAAAATAGCCCCATTCATTCCTGGGGTAGCCCAGTCTCTTCCAATATGCTTAACATTAGTTTGGAGACATTTGCCTGAGGGGAATGACTGAGGATTTCAAATACAGAAAGAAACCCACAAAGACAGGGCACAGGAACTGGGTAGAGAAAAAAGATGCTAAGGCAGTCAGTGAGCAGATTTAGAGATGGAACAACAGCAGGAAATAGAGGCAAAAAAAAATGAAGTCAATGAAGTCAGAGACTTAAAACTCACACAGTTGGAGGTGAAGAGATATAAAGACTGGGCAAGAATGTTAATCTTGCAGCTTCTTCTCAGCTTGAATGCTTTATGAGAGAGAGAACTGCAGAGAGGGGAAGACAGGCATGAATTGGAACATGAGAGGCAAAGGAAACGAGGGGAGGTTGTGGACAGTAGATGTGACTGCCCAGCTCTAAAACCTTCCTGCCACCCTCCCTCATGCCCACCCGGGCAGCTCTTTAATGTCTCCAGTCCTCTGTGCTTGCTCTTGGCTCCTACTGTGCACAGTTGAGCTCTTTCCCCTAAATCCAACTGAACACCACCCAACATCCTCCCTAAAACCCTCTCCTTACCCCAGGGCCATATTCAACGTCCCTCCCTTCTTGATTCCTAAAGCAAAGCACAGTCCATAGCAGACCACCACACGCCCTAACCACAGGCACCTGCTATTTTAGAATTTGCCCTCTGCTCATGTGAAGGTCATCTTGATTCCTGCAAGGAACCTGTGCTGGTCAAGGGTCGAGGCCTCACCTCAGATACTCCAGTACTCGCCAGTGCCCCAGCCCAGTGCTGGGTCTTATTAAGTGCTCAGTGAACCCTTGTAGACTAAACTGTTGCTATGCGGTGCCCATGGGGCAACCTGGCAGACCACTGGTCTATGAAATAGCTTCCAAGAGGCTGGCCGGACTGTGGCCATCTCCTGGGCTCCCGCGCCCCCTGCTGGCCAAGAGAGGACCTGCACGCAGAACAAAGTTCGTGGGCGCAGGGGCGGTCGGGGTGCAGCCCGCGGGTGAGAGCGCTCCGGTATCCTGGATGGCCTTGGACATGGACTGTGGCTTCTGAAGAGGACTCCGGGCACGTCCATCAAGCTGCCATTTTCTCTCTGGGCAGAAGAACACACCCCCGGCTTCCCCCGCCCCCGAGAGCAGACGCTCAGAGCTTCTCGTCCAGCTCCAAGCCCTGGTTCTCCAGGGCGGCCCCACGGGCGGGGGCTGGGCTGCCTCTGGGTGTCTGGCTCAGGTAGTTCTGGATGACCGAGGCGCAGTCCAGCCGCTCCATGGCGGTCATGAGGTCGTACAGCTCCTGCAGACTGCCATTCTGCTCCTCAAACAGCTCCAGGATGGCGGCGGCGGGGCTGCGCTGGCAGGACAGGAACCTGGCCCAAGCCAGGAGGAGCGAGCTGGAGAGGGGTCTCCCTCTCCTCCAGGCACAACTGCGACCCCCCCCCCCTCCTCTCCAGCCTAGCTCTGGGTCTCCTCCTGCTCTCCCTAGGGTCCAGGGGACTTGGGTGGCCTGAGGCCCCAGGATTTTAAAACCTCAGATTGTTGGGGCTCAGAAGCTAACTCCCAGGTTCTGTTCCTCTCTGGGCCTCAGCTGCTTGGATGAAAGGACCTCTGAGCTTGCTTCCCGCTCTGATTTCTGTGATTGCCTTCTCCTCCCCCACCGCAAACACACTCCTGCCTCACCCAGGCTCTTAATGGCTCCCCTCTGTCTCCCAGGCCACAGCATTCTACCCACCAGAAAGGAAACAGTTGCTCTAAACCATAGATTTTATCATGACTCTCTGCTGCTCAAAAATCTTCCAGAGTCTTCTGCCCACTGAACAAGCCAGTGCTCCTGACTTTCTGGCTCACCCCCGCCCACCCTGAGCCTCCTTTCCTGAGGCCTGTCCCTGTCCCACCTTGCACACACCACACCCACAAACACCTCTGCTGCTCCCCTCAGACAAGGGCTCTCTTCTCTTCCCACCCCTCCTCCCTGAAGCCCTAATTGCAGGTTCCTCTGGTCATAGCTAGCTCTTCAGCTATTGTGTATTTTCCCAGTGTGGTAGGCAACTGTGGTAGATGCACACAAGCAGGCACAAAGATCACTTGACTTTATTTTTAAACTCTCTGCATCCCTTACTACACAAGATATGAGCTCCTGAGAGCTGGAACCGGCTGTCATTCTTGTATCGCAGTGCTAGCAGGACATAGTGGGTCTTGAAGAAATGCTTAAATAAATGGCTGGTTTTTAAACCCACCATTTTCAAAGCCCTACTATAGCCCCATCTCCTGGGAAAGCCTTCCCTGACCCCTGCACTCACAGCCTGGATTCTGGGACCTGGTTCAGAATTATTCTACAATTTCTTTGTGAATTCCTTTGACAGGGACTGTGGCTGCACTGCCACCACAAATGAGAGTTATTGAGTATACATGTGCCAGGCGCCTAGCCACATGCTTTACACACACTATCTGCTAGTAATCATGAGCACCCAGTGACTTGCATGATATTTGATTCATTGTTAACTCATTTATTGTGACCTACTAAGAGCCAGGTGTTACTCTAGGTACTGAGGATACAGTGATCAGTAGAGCTACCCTTCTACGGGGAAGAGGGTAGGGAGTAGTTGCTGTCATTCTTTTAAGTCATCCCCTTATCTGTGGTCCAGTTCCCAGGGTGTCCTGAGGATTCCCTACCCCAACCCACCCGCCACTTCCATCTGCAGACCTCACCCTTCTTACCGGATTTTCATGCCACAGAGCCCCAGGTGAGAGGCCAGTCGTCGCCAGTCATTACCCGTGATGCTGTTTGGCTCCAACAACATCTGCAGCTGCTCAAAGAGCTCTGGGGGCAGCCTGAGCCAGGGGGAAAGGGTGTTCTTGGAGGGAAGAATCAAAGAGACCCCCAAACGCTGTACTTGCCCTGTAGGTGCTGGGGAAGGAATCCCAAACATCCCCCAGGCAGAAAGGTCACCCCTCACCTCACCTATTGCACAGGGGTGGCTGGGAGACAGGGGGTGGTGCTGCCCAGGACTCTTCCTCTGATGCCTGGAATCTGAGGATCTCCATGTACTTGGTTTCCAAGCCCTGAGTTCACGGAGGGGCAATGAATACACTTGGGGTCATAAGACATTCCCCTTGGAAGAAGCTGAGAGCCTACCCCTATTTCTGTGTCTCTGATTCACCCTGTGCCCCAGAGCCACTTTACCAGGAGGTAATGCCCCACCCAGCCCTCTCTTCCTTCTAATTCACTGACCCCAGAACCCCACATTCAACCTCAAGTTGAACCACTGAGCTCTTTGGGGACTGGAACACGAAGACCCATACAGGGTGCATCCTAAGCTACCACGAGAAATCCTGGATGCGGTCATGGGGCAGGGGGAGATACCAAACTCAGGCGCTTGTGCCCCCTTCCCTGCATCCCACCTTCCTCCCAAGAGACAACATCAGGGTACCTGTCTACCTTCCACTCAGATGAAACCCCCCTGATTTCTTCATATAGTCCTTTGAGGCTGTGAGATGAGGAAAGAACTAACTCCCTCCCACCTACTCCAAGCCCCCTTCCTGGTCACTCTCCCACTGGAGATACCAGGCTTCGTCTCTCAGATGTAGGCAGCCTAGGAGACACCAGGTCTCCTTGCTGCCTCAGTCCCTGAGGTGGGAGAAGGGCTAATCTACCATCTGGTTCTGTTCCCCGCTGGATTCCTCCATTGACAGACAAGGGAGTGAGATGTCTATTCTGTGGAAAATGACATCTGTATCTACTTGATTATGTGATTAGGACCATACTCAGCAGGTACCAGACCCCTGGCCCACCTTACCTGGGACTTGTCACAGGCCCTCCCCTCCTTCTGCCCCTCAATAACAACTCACATCCTGGAAGGTGTGCATGGTGACAATGATCTCATTGGTTGATGCTGAGCAGTCCTCGTTCTCATTGACTAAAAAGAGGAGGTAGAAAGTGACAGATGTGAGAGGAAAAGACTTGGGGTGAGAGGGGAGGAGATGTCAAAGGGACTCTACAGGAACACTAGGGCTCTGAAGAAGCAGAGGCCGGATACTGCAAAGATCTGCAATGACTCCCTTAACAGAAAGTCTATGTGCACAGCCCAGCATAGAGCTGCAGAATATCAGGGTTGTTGGTGGGTGGGAGCAGGAGGGTTCGGGGCTCCTGGACTACCTGCTTTTCTCCGGAAGCAGAAGGAGCGGAAGGGGCACTTTCCATGCCAGATGTGGAGATGGGGAACCAGCTGGCTGCTGCTGTCATCCACATTCTCCCAACCTGGGGAGGGGAGAGAGGGCAGAGGGGCTCAGAAGGTGGGGCCTTCCACAAATCTTAAAGGAAGTTGTGGGAAGAGTAAAGTGAGGAGGGTCTCAGTGGATGGAAATCTCCAGAACCTGGGCAGGGAACCAAAGTGGCCTTGTACCCCATACTCCCTCCTCTCCCCCTCCCTGCAGCCTCCATCCCCCATCCATCCCTGAAGCAGCCATGCACCACCACCGTGTGCCCTGCCCACAACCACACAAATATAGTGTGGCATTTGCCCTGGGCAATGCCAGCAGCCCTAGCATAAGGGCAAGAGGACCCAAAGAAAGACTGGAGGCCCTTTCCTGTGCCAGGTCCACCCAGGGGGACAATAAAAGCCTCCACCTTCCCCTCCCCCATTCCTGCAGGGTACAACACCACCCACCTCCCACCTGGCATCACCCTGTCCTGGGTGGGGTACAAGGGCTGGGCGCACAGCAGAGGGAGGAAGAGGACAAAGCCTGGAAGCTTCTGGGCAGCAGCAGAAACCAGGAGGTCTCCTTTCTGCTGCTGCTGCTGCTGGCCCAGGAGTCCAGGAAAGAAACTTAGGGTTCCCAGGTTCCCAGCCCAGGGGGCGGCCACGGACCCCTCTTTCTCATGGGGCTCCCTGCTTCCAGTTCCCAGGCCCCACCCGCCTCACCCTCAGAAATGTACTTGAGCTTCAGGCACTGGTCACCTCTGGCCCCAGTGAAGTCGAAGAGCTGGCAGGGCCCGCGCAGGCGCCCACCGTGGGGCTGCTCGTTGGTCACCGCCCACTGCAGGGCGCAGGGCGTGTTGTTCAGGAAGTAGACACGCAGCTGCAGGTGGGACTGCCCAGGCACCAGCGGCGAGCAGAAGACGGCCAGCTGCAGCCATTTACGGGCAGCCTGCCCCACAGGCGCCTCTAGCACGCAGGTGTACAGGCTGCAGAGGAAGATGGTGGCAGGGACTGACACGGGAGGGCAGGGAAACGCCAGACCCCAGTGCATCTACCACCAGGCTCCTGTCACCTGAAGGGCCCAGTGCAGGTCTCCCAGGAGGTGCAGAGAACACTCCAGAGGGACCTATGGAGAGGACCTGGAGAGGGGTGGGCTGGCTGCTAGAGGTGTCCCAAAGTGAATATGTCCTGGTGCCCCTCACTGAGTGCAGAGGAAAGCCAATGAGTATTCTGTGGCAGGGAGAGTGGGAAGGTAGGCTCAGAATCCCCATGCTTGTGAGGGGCCCCACAAATGGCCCTGCTGTCATCAACAAGAGGTAAGGACATGGGGAATCAGACACCTTAACATTCCAGAAGGTCAGAGATGGAGGACAAACATGAGTTGAAACTGGAGGGGACAAACTGGCCTCAGTAGTTTGGAGATAGTACTGGACAGAGACACAAGGTCGAGACAGTTGCAGAGAGACCCCAGTAGGAATGGAGCAGACCCCCTCCAGGCAGGCAGAGAGACAGGAGTGGGATGCACAGCCCCGGACAATGTTGGAAATAAACAAGATGCCATGGACAGTGGGACAGAGGCCCAAAGAGGGACACGGGGGACCCAGGGATTTGCAGACCATCCTGAATAGATAAAGGGGCAGTTCTAGACAGAGCTGAGGACGAGGCAGAGAGACAGGAGTCAGGAAAGACAGCGGCAGAGACATGGGAGCAGGAAGACAGGCCAGTGGGCAGGTGCCTACCTGAAGTGGGAGAGGAGGATGCGGCACTCATCCAGGGACGTGTGGGCCCCGGGCCGACCCAGGGGCCTCCAGGCCTTGGCATCTAGCAGGGAGGTGTCGCTACTGTAGGTGCGGGCGTAGCTGGGCTGCTGGGCACAGTGCTTGAATGTGAGGGTGCAGGGCTGCAGAAAGGAGGCTCCGTGGGGGCCACATGCTACCACAGGGCTCACCAGTCCCTGAGACCTGGACAGTGACGGGGCATCTGACAGGTCCCACACCAGAATCAAGGATACCCGCTCCTGGCGGCCCACGGCCACAGCACCTGGGGAGATGGAGAGTTGAGATGGGTCTGGTAGGCAGGCACCCTTACCCCGGAAAGAGGTCAGCCAGAGTAAGAGAGTAGGTAGGCAGGAGCCTAGGAGAGGCCCCCAGCAGGGCCCAGAGAGGCCATATGAATGAGACCGCCATGAGCTGACTCGTGGCCTAATCCTAAACCAGTCAGTGCCCATCCTTCCAAGGCTGCTGCTAACCCATGCAGGGCCTTGTGTAGATTTGCAAACCGTGCTCTTCCTTTTATCTGAGAATTGTCAACGCATAGTGTCACTAGAACAAGGCACTTTACTTCCACCTGCCAGGAAGCTGTCACAAAAGATAAGTAATATGTCTGTCTTTGGATTCAATAAGGTTAAACTAGAAAAACAATTTTCAAAATTAAAAAGATGCCTATAAACAGATGTGGTGTCCTAATGCAGTTCCAACAACTGTATGCCGAGGAGGAGGCTGGGAGTGGCTACCTGGAGGGATGTGCAGGGAAATGCCTGTATCCTGGAGTATCAGGCAACCGCCGCGGTGATCCACCTCTCGAGCCGAAAACACCAACAGTTTGTTCATCAGCTGGCGGATGATGGTCTGGCCCTGGGTGGGCATGTGCAATTCCTGGTAGAAGGCAGCTATCTCTGGCAGTGTGGCCGGTGGACACTGCCTTGGAGCATCATATTCTGGTAGTGGGGTGGACGGGGACACTGGCTCTTCTTGCCCATCTGGCTTCAGACAGGTCCCCAGCAGCCAGCGAGAGCGATACCAGCGAAGGCACTGAACCAGAAGGAGAGCACTCGCCACTGGGATCCCCACCAGCAGGAGGAACTGGGAGGGCTGGAAGGAACTCTCCTGGGGGCACATCCGCCTGGTCACTAGATGCTACTGGCTCTCCTGCACCCAGTGCCAGTCAAGGCCAAGGGCCTGGAGGAAAAAATGGGTTGGGTCAAGACTTGTAGAAGCCAAGACTTGGCTTCCATGTGGCTGCAGTGAAGGAGCACATTCCAGCACAGCTGCTGGATCAATTCCTTTCATAGACCTTCACCTCCCCCCATCTCTCTCTCTCTCTCTCTCTCTCTCTCTCTCTCACTTTTCATGACCTAGTACATCAAGATAAACTCTGAGGCAGAAAGAGTTTACATTTAGACAATGAGTTCAAATGCTATCTAGGGCATTGTGGCTGGGTATGCTTATCTGATTAGTATACCTCAGTTTCTTCACCTGTCAAAATATCTACCCTGGCCAGGTGTGGTGGCATACTAGCAACTCAGGAGGCTGAGTCAGAGTATCACAAGTTTAGAACCAGCCTCAACAACTTAGCAAAACCCTGTCTCAAAATAAAAAGGAGGAAAAAGAGGACTTGATCTTGATCTGCAAGTGCTGATACAGCAAAATCTTAAGTGAAAAAAGCAAGACACACATAGGCCTCCTTTGATCTTATTAATGTAAAAAAAAAAAAAGGCATAGGCTGGGGGCATGGCTCAGTGGTAGAGTGTGTGCTTAGCATGTGAGAGGCCCTTGGTTCAATCCCCAGCACTGCAAAAAAGATAAGTGTATATAGTATAGATATGGGTTTATGGGTGTGTGTGTGTGTGTGTGTGTGTAGATATAAATGTGTAGAGAAAGATTTGGAGTAGTCGTGTGCAATAAAAACAAAATGCAAGCCAAATATGTAATTTTAAGTGTTCTGGTGGCCACATTAAAAAAGGAATAGGACAAATTAATGCTATTTTTATTTAACCCACAACGTTCAAAATATTATTTCAGCAGTCAATTAATATAAATTTATTGCGATATCTTCCATTCTTTTTCCAACACCAAGTCTGTGAATTCTGTGTGTATTTTACACTTAAGGCACATCTCAGCTGGGACTTGCTGTAGTTCAAGTGCTCAGTAGCCACATGTACTAGTGACTGCTGTCTTAAGACAGTGCAGGTCTGGAAGGATACCCCCCAAACTCTTCCCACTGGTCACAGCTAAAGGCCATGGCAAATTGAGAGGGCGGAAGATGTGATAAGGACTACGAATGGCACCAAACATGTATTTTATGTAAACTTTATCATTCTTTTCCAAAGTTATTAAAAGTGGAGGGGAAATGTCCCAGGCGATCCTGAGGATGGAGGGAAGTCCTGTGACATCATTCGTGGATGATAAGCACTGTCCAAATGTGTTTGTTTCTTTATGCCCCGCCTTCTGCCAGAAACTCCCAAGGTAGTTCCCAGGCAAACACACAGTACAACATGAGTAACAAAAGTTAAAAGTGAAAGAAGCAGAAAGAAAGAAAGAAAAACAAAGGTGGGGGCCTGCTCCTCACAGGAGACTTCCCAGCAGCCTCCAGTAGAAACGCCAGCTCTTCCTTAATCCACCTTCAAGTCCCCCTGATTTCCAACACCCTCTCACTCTATGGGACAAGTTCATTCTGGCTCCTACTTTTCCCACTTCTCCCCACCTGCCTTGTGTCCCCCCTGCAGCCCTCCTGTTCAGTAGAACCTCTCTGGGTCACCAACCCTCCCTTGGAAGTCTCTTCCCCAACTCGCATCTCTCTCCATCGCCATCCCACCAGCCTGAGCAGCTCTTGATCATCTGCCGCCACATGCAGCTCTCCCAAATGAGTATTTCCTGAGCACCAGCTGTGTATCAGGCACTGTGGGAAGTTCAGTCCTGTCAAAGATGACGTCTTATTCAGCTCTCAAGGAGCTGCTGAGGGAGTGGAATTCATTCACTTGGCGGCTGAGATCTGTGAGGCAGGATGTGCTCCTTCCAAGTCCTCAGAATCCCCTCGGGTTGATTCACCAGGATCTCCACTGAAAAAGTTCTGGCATCCGTTACGTCCTGCTCCTTCTCTCACACCACCCACCTGGAGCTGAGGTTTTGCCTACCTTCTTTCCTTCCCCAGGAAAACTAAGCCCCCTTCCCACCCTCTTCCAGACAGGGCAGAAGCTGCTCTATGTCCTCGGGATGGACTCAAGGCGGGGCCTCTTTACCGGGCTTCCTCGCTGAAGATGTGGACCGGAAGGGAGGCTTGCATTGCCCCTTGTGCCTTAAAACCCGACCCTGCGGTCAGTGCGCCAGCCTCTTCAGCCAGCCTGCCTGCAGGGCACACAGGTGACTCAGGTGAGCTGACAGTGCCCCACATCTGGTGGGAAGGTGGGTTCGAGCTACTCCTAGGTTCCATCCCTTTCTTTTGGTTCTTCCATATTCATAATTTTAACTCTGATAATAGCTATCATCTATGGAGCTTCACTTTGCACCGCTGCCCTCTCCATGGCTCATCTCATTTGATCCTCAAAGAGCTGGTGTTATTTGTATCTCATTTCATAGATCAGGATGGACAGGGACTATTAAGCACCAATTGAAGACAGAAAGGAAGGATGCGCCAGGATGACAAGGACTTTCAGAAACACCCCTCACCCTCCCCGCCCATCCTTTTGACCCAGGCCTTTCTTTCCTCCTCTAGAGGGAATGAAGCTGGACAAGAAAGAAATAGAAATAGAGTAAAAAGAAATAGAAGGACCTAACGGCACGCCCTTGGTTCCACCAATGCACTAGTGTCAGGGGACCAGCCAGCTAGTGGGAAGGGAAGGGGGGGACCCACTTCGTTTCTACAGCAACAACCTTCTTGGGGCCTCCCAAGACCAGAGTCCAAATCCTCCCCACCCCACTGGGTGGTGCAGTGATGTCCCTTGGCCCAGCGTCCCCACCCAGAGAAGCTGGTATGTATGTACCACCCCCAAAGCCTCAGGGCCCTTCAAGAGGAGACCATTCATTTACCTAGCAGGTTAGCTCCTCCCCCAACTCAGCCCTGGGGCCCCAGGCTGAGAGCTCTTGCAGATTGCATTGACTCTCAGTCCATCCTCCCCCTAGCCCCAGGAGGGGAAATGGTCCCCAGTTTTGCTGAACAGAACCTGCAGCACTACAGTTATTCAAGTATGAATTGGAGCCTCCCAACTCCATACCGACCCCCCCCCACACACACCCACTCATTCCTCCAGTTTGTCTTGCTCCAGGCCCCAGATTGTCCTGAATAGCATTTCCCTAAAATGAGGGCTCTTGAGAATCCCGCCATCGCCTGTCCCTAGGTAGTTGCTTTCTCCAACACAAAGATCCAGAGTCCTGCTGCAAAGTGCTGCTCAGATCTGTTAAACTCAACCCTTCTCCCTCATTGTTCTCACGGCACCTCCCAACATCTGCTAGATCTCCAGTTATCATTACAGGACATAAAAGCACTGGGATGAGTGAGGCCGCGGCTGAGTCACAGCCAGCGCTCATTAGCGATGCCCACATTTCTATAGTGCACAGATCAGCCCAGCAGCACCCAGCAGCAGGGGCCCTTTTCCTCTCCTGCCACAGAAGATCCCCACACTCTGGCCTCGCCCCTCCCCTGAGTCCAGGTGACCCCGCTGCAGTGCCCACCCACCTCCAGGTGCCCCAGAAAGGGGCTCACCTTTCTGGCTAATTCCTCCCAGAGGCTCCTGGCTTGTCCCGGAACAGTAGTTCCTTCTCTGAGAAATAGACAGGTCAGCCAGACACGGTCAGCCAGGCCAGCCTACAAGTGGAGGTGGGCGGAGAATCAGGTAGGAGTGGCCTAGAGCTTCCTGGCCGACTCATGCCTCCCAGCGTCCATAAGGAGTTGGGGAGAGTGTCCTTTTCTATTGGCAAAGTCCAATCGAGTCAAGGTAGGAGCCGAGGATCCCAGGAGTCAGTCAATTTAGCTAGCAGGATAGGTCCAGAAGGGAGGAGAAAGGGAAGGATTCACCTGGGTACAGGCCGTGCACCTTGAAACACCTCCCTACGGCGCCCCCTGCTGGTGAGCGACTGCCCCAGCCAGAGGTTATTAAAATGAGAGAAGGTAAGAGAAGCCAGACTTCGCCAGAGCTTCTCAAATTACAGTGTGTGCATGAATCACCTAGAGGATCTTATTAAAATGGACGTTATGATTCTCCGAAAGTCTGGATTGGGCCTGAGGCTCTGAGGCTGTAAGAAGTTGCAGGCGGGTGCCAATGTACAGGTCAAGGGAGCTTAGCATATAGCCTGCCCCTTCCTGCACAGGGAAAAATGCGGATACATAGCTGGTGGCATGGGAATCCGCTTCCTACCCAGTGCTGGTACCACTCCTCGCACTCAAAGAGTTAGCAGAGACACTGCCCCTTGGGGGAGAGCTGAACTTTGGGGCAGAGCCCTTAAGAACTCTGGCCAGGAGAGATGGCACCACTAGAATGAAAGTGCCTCCATCTGTGTCCCTGCCGTCTCCTACTGTGGCCTCAGCTTCAGGTGCATACAGATGTTGCATAAAGACTTGTTGAATAAATGGCCAGCGGAGAGAGAAGAGGATATATTTTGGATCCCAGGTGACCTGCATTTTGGCTATGTAATTTTGGGCAATCTTTAACCCCTCTGAGCCTCAATTCCCTGGTCTGTCAAATGAGATAATAATATCTATCTTGCATAGGATAGTAGTTATCATTATTGAGCTAGTAAATGAAAAGCAAATACCACAGAATGGGTGCTCAGTAAATGGAAACTGTTATCATCGTGGTCTGGCCTGCCTCCCTACGGAATCATGGTGAGTTCCTGCAACCTCCAGTTACCATTTCCCATAGAAAACAAGTAACTTCCCCCTTTCTGCTTTCTAATTCTATGAGAGCAACTGTTTTAGATTCTGCATGTAAGTGATATCACACGGTATCTATATTTCTGTGCCTCGCTTAATTCATGAGACACAAATGATAGGATTTCTGCTTTTAAGGCTGAATAGTATCCCAGCTCTTAGGGTGATTCCCTATTGGTACTTGTGAAAAGTGCTGCAATGAACACAGGAGTGCAGGTATCAGAAGGAGTGCCATATGGGGAGAGGTTGATTAACAGGTACAAAGTTACAATAAGACAACACTAAGTTTTGCTGCTATATTGCACAATATGGTGACAATAATAGACAATAATGCATTGTGTATTTCAAAATCACTAGAAGAAAGAATTTGAATGTTCTCACCATTAAGAAACGACAAATGTTTGAGGTGATGGCCATGCTAATTGCCCTGATTTGATCATTACAAAAAGTATGCAAGAATTAAAACAGCACATGGTACCCTATAAATATGTGCATTTATTATGTGTCAACTGGAAATAAAATACAACTTAACAAAAAAGATAAGTGGTCACTTCCTCTGCTTTTGTCTCAGTTGATGATTCTCTAGCCTCTTGTCCATGACACAGCCCCCTCCCTGCTTCTCCCTTCCCTGTCAGGAGGGAAAAGAGAGAGAACAGCCAGTTGGGAAGAAGACCTCATGCTCAAATGACCAGCAAGGAAGGGGTGCCCAGAATTTTGACATGAAAAAGAGGGAAGGGGTTAGTTTTTGCTGGACGAAGCTCTGAGTCACACAGGAGACTGGACTTTGACAACAGACAGGGACACTTTCCCTTCCCCTCTTCAGGGTGACTGGGAGGTAGGACTCTTCCAGGAAGCACCAGGCCACTCCTGCCCAGATTCCCCACCCACCTCCACTGTCTGCTGCCTTCACCTCTGAGTCATGAAGTTCTAGGGCTTTGTAAAATATCTGTCAAGCTCGAGTTCCAAGTCAGGAAGGGTCATGCCGACAAGAAGCCTGTTCCAGGGTCTGTGTTCATGAATAATGAATTCATTTCCAAAGTCAGTATTTGCCTCACTTGGGGACAATCCTGGTTACAGAAAGGCACTGAAGAAATCCAAAGGTCCCTACCAGTCCTACAGACACAAATCTGGTTCATAGGATGCAAAGACCAGAGGCATAAATGGGATCCTGGGGGGGGGGGGGGGGCTGAGCTATCACATGAGGGCCAGCCCTCCCAGAGCCAAACTGTCTTAGTCAGCTTTTTTCACTGCTGTGACTAAAAGACCTGACAGGAACAATTGTAGGAGAGGAAAAGTTTATCTGAGGGCTCAGTTTCAGAGGTCTCAGTCCATAGAAGGTTGGTTCCATACCTGGGGCCTGCAGTGAGGCAGAACCTCATGGTGGAAGAGTGAGGGAGGTAGGAAACTAGCTCACTTGATGATCAAGAAGCAGAGAGGGACTCCACCCACCAGATATAAAACACATACCCCAAAGGCACGCCCCCAATGCCCACCTTCTCCAGCTACACCCTACCCATCTTCAGTCACCACTCAGTTAATCCTATCAGAGGATGGAGTCACTGATTGAGTTAAGGCTCTAATAACCCAATCATTTCTTCTCTAAACCTTGCATTTTCTCACACCTGAGCTTTGCAGGGCACACCTCACATCCAAACCATAACACAAACCCCTAACTATTCCATGAAGGGGCTCCCTCCAAACACCAGGCACCAAGGATCTAACAGGGCTAGGAGTATAGTTCAGGGTGGAGCACTTGCCTAGCGGGCATGAATGCTTGAGACCCTGGGTTTGATCCTCAGTAACCCCCTCCCCCCACCACACACACAAGACTCTTGCAGACCAGGGTAACCTCTGGTGAAAGAAAACTTTCGGCCCCTGCAAGCAGCAGCCTGGACTCCCCAACTAGTGTTGCTACCTTTGAGAAAAGTAGACCAGCTGGGAGCCCTGCTCCCCCTTCTTCCCATCCCTCGGCCTCTCTGCCTCCACATCTCATGCACCATCAGACACGGGTAGAGAAACCTTGCTGCCTGCAGTGAGGAGAGCATGAGGCCTGGGGAAAAGGAAGCCCTGGGAGCCGTGGGTAACGGGAGGAAAGAGGATGTGGGAAGGGAGGGGCAGTGAAGGGAACGTCCAACACAGGAGAGAAAAATAGGAAAAACTAAGACAGGAAGTTAGAAGATGAGCAAATGGATGGTGAGAAGCCAAGAAAGACAAAAAGATGCACAGGCAGGCATGCAGGGCAGCCCTCTCCCGGAAGCTTCCAGGACAAGTGTTCTTGGCAGGAAAGGATGGATTAGGTTGTCACTCTAGAGCATTGGAAATAATTGGGTAATTTTCCTTCAAATCCAGTCAATCACAGGGAGATAGCTGAAATGTTAAGCAGATGAGAAGAATGATATTGGGTGAGGGACTTGGATGAAGGAAGGTCTATCCCTTGTCTCACATGCAAGTGACATGCAAAGAAAGCAATAAGCAATTGAGCATGGCAGCTTTTTAATCAAAGATCAGGCTTTTGTTTCCTTGAGAGGCCACAAGAAATCGGATATTTGCATTTGCAGCTCAACCCCCTGGAATTAAAAAGAGGTGGATGAACTTCATCCCAACGGTTCCAGCAGACAAGAGCTAAGGCTTCAAATAGGGAGCATCCCAGTGCCAGTTGCCCCTGTGTAGATCTGCACAGGAGACCAGAGTACGCCAGTCGACCCCATGAGGTAAGGCTGGAGCAGATGGACTGGCCCCCTGTGGATAGAAATGGCCCAGGAATCTCTGGCTCCTGCCTTCAGAATGTGGTCCTTCCAGGTTGGTTACTGTCAGCTTAGGTAAGACATCATCCTCTCGAGGACCTGGCCACTGTGGAAGAATGAAAAGATGGTCATACCTGAACCTGACCTCCAGAAATCACATACACCTAGAAGGAGGAAAGCCTCCCACTTAGAAGAGGTTACCAATACTGGACAGTGTCCTCCAGGTGCCAACTGAGTGGTGTGAAGAAAATAAGTCCCTAGAATCCAGAAAACAGGCAAGACACTGGGGCCAGGGTTGAAGGTGGTTCAGAGCAGCAGGACTGGAGAAAACCCTCGGTGCCTGCCTGGAATCCCAACCAGCCCTCTTCTTCCACTCTCTCCAAGTCTCCACTCCCCTCCCACCAGCTCCCCCTGGCCCTCAAATGAGGACCATAATGGCTATCCCACATTTTAGTTCACAGGGCTCCCTCTTGGTAATCAAGAGTCCTTACGCCAGAGGACCTCCTCCAGATGCCGAGGCACAACCTCTGTTAAGTGTTTCTACCACCGTCTCTCCAGGGTTATGCCTTCTACTTGGGGTGGAAGGACCTGGGAGGGAACTTTGGGTGGCCCCTGGTCCCACCCCTTAGACTTACGCCCTTTAACTCACCATAAGCTGGACTATAATGATGTTCTTCCTAGCAGCCCACAAACCTGATCTAGTAAGACACGTGGTGGTTGTAGCAGAAGCAGTGCAGGAGGAGGAAAAGCACCAGGCCCCAGAAGCAGATCATTCAGATCAGGTACAGGATGGAAGGCTACTCAGAGCTCCCACAGGGCCCTGGGACTTGGTTCTTTGGGTTGCAGAAAGGTGGAGGGGCCCAGCTCTCAGGCAGCACATAGACCCTATCCCTCAGAGCCAGCCCTGCAGTTCCACCAGCTGCTGTACAGGTTCATGCTGAGTAAAGTGCTGAACCACACCCCATCACCAAAGTGGCCACACTGCTGCCGACACCCTACCTGTCAGATCCACTATGAACACTGCCATGACCTGCCACCTGTGGAGAAACAACCTGTATCCACTGCACCAGCCTCAATCCAAGGCTGAGAACAGCAACTGGGACCCCAGGGCATGGAAGAGGAGGCAAGAGTAAGGAGAGACTGTGAGCAGGCTCAGGAGCAGAGACCCATTGTGTCTAATATGGCCACTCTCCTGGGTACCCTGGTACTGTTTTTCCTTAGAATTTAGAGATCTGGGAAAGAGGGAGAAATCTTTCAATACTTAAATATGAAATGCTACTAATAACTTTGAAAGTATGATGCTAAGTGCACATTTGAGTGCAGGGTGTCCAGGGCTGCAGAGTGGGCATAGAAGCTTCTGCCCCTGCATGTGAGTAGACATGAATGGGTGATCACACCTGGGTGAGGGTAGGTGCCATCTCCATCCCTCTCAAGCCCTCCCAAACTCAGCATGATGGTTTAGCACTTAGATTTCTAATTACATGAAAAACAAAACCTTTTGAAATATTACATAAAAGCAAAACAGGAAAATAAAGTAAAAAGGATACTAATGTCCCATGTTAAGATTAAAGATTATATAATTATATATTATATAATACTAAAATATTATAACAATATAAGTTATAACAATACTAAAATAACAAGCTAAAATATGTCATGCTAAGATTTTATGTGATTATCTCTGATGTAAGATTACAGATGCTTTTTCTTGTTTTCATATATTCTTATACTTCCAATTTTTTATATCACTTAACTATTAATATAATAAGGAAAAAAAGTGAATGTAAGCCTTAGGGAGCTGGGAGGTGAGTTCAGTAGGAACTTCTTATCCAGCCTTCTGGTTTCTCCCTTTCTCCACCCTCTCTGTGGCTTTTAAATTTTTGTCTCCACCCTCCTCCTATTTTCCTCTGGTCTTGTTTCAAAGTTGCGATGGTGGCAAGGAGTGGCTGTCCTGGGCTGCCTCCCCAGTGTCTGCACAAGGCCAGCTGGAAAGCCCCATATGCCCTGCAGTCAGGGGGCCTCCACCTGCTGCTTGGTGGAATCACCAGGAAGTTTTTAAAAATACTGATCAGACTCTCCAGGGATGAGGCCAGGGCATTGATGGTTTTAGAACTCCCCATGACTGCCTCTGCTACAGCCAAGGCCAAGAACCCTGGCTTAAAAGTGTGCCAGAGCCATTTTTAGCATTTTAAAATAGACATGTTCCTGGGGCCCCAGTGGAGACCTGTGGTTTAGACCTTTTGCCATGAGCTCCCGGCATCTTTAGATTTAACCCGATCCCCAGGACTTTTGTCAGCTGCCTACAAAAGTTCAAGGGCTCAGGACATAGATCATTTCTCAGGCCCTATTTAACTTTGACAATCTGTGGTTTTCTGAGAAGGAGCTTGGGAATTCAAACAAACAGTCCTCTAGGGTGAGGCTGAAGACCTTACAAAGAGGGCAGCCAGGCAGCAGCAGCAGCATCTGAGAAGGGAATGAACTTGCTCTTTCCAGAGCTCACCCAGCCTCCCCTCCTCCACCAACAGCAGACTCCACCCAGCCAGGCCAGTCACCTGAGTCCAGGGAAAGCAAACATAGGTCCCACCTACCTTTGTATCTGCAGCCCCAGGGCAGGGAAGGACACAAAGTAGATACCCAGACCTACTTTGACAGATTGAATGGATTAATGAATACATTGTCACACTTAAAAAAAAAAATGCCACCACTCCCACCCTTACTTTGGACCAACTGAAAAAGAAGGGAAGGGCTTTAATAGTTTTGGAAATCTCTGGTTCTAATCTGCAGCCAGATGGAAAACTGCTGCTATAGAGCATTGCTTCTCAAAGTGTGGTCCAGCGGCCTTCTGGGGGTACTTACTGAGGTACAGAATGCAGCCCAGCTCCAGACCCAGGGAGTCAGATCATTTTGGGGAATGAGGATAATATGGTGTAGTGGTTTGTAGTTCTGGACATGGAGTCAGACCAACTCGGGGTTGGAGACTGATTCTGTCATTGATTAACTGGTTACCTAGTGCAACCTAAGCTGTCTGTGTTTCATTTTCCTTATTTCTAAAATGAGGACCTCACAGATTTGTGTGGGGGGGGGGGGCGGGATAAATGAGATAATGGCAGAGAATAAGTTCTCCATAAATGTCTGTTGTTCCAGGAATGGACCCCAGGAAACCACCTGGCTGGTAAGCACCTGCGGTCCGATGCAGGCCTACTCTGCTCCGAGTTGCAGGCAGTAAGTGAAGTACTTCCCAAACCTGACAGCTAGCAAATTGGAGCCTCCTCCTCAGGTCATGAGCTAACCTGGCCATCATCACAGGCACAAAACAACCAGCTCTTACTTATTCTTGTGTATCTTATCTTTACCTCAATCAAATTGTTAAAAGCTGCTTTTAGACTGGGTGTGGCTTAGTGGTAGATCACTTGTCTAGCATGCACAAAGCCCTGGGTCTACCCCCAGCACCACAAAAAATAAAATAAATTTTGCTTTTGATTTAACTTATGGCTCCATTTATATACATTAACTGTTTTAAACTTTTAAATTTCCAAATTTGATTATAAATTCTGATGGACAGAAGATGGGCCTGGGAGCCACCACTGCATGGCTTCTTATCAAGCTCTGTTCTCACTGTGGGACCTTGGACAAGTCAACATCCCAGGAACGCCTATTGGTACTACTATCATTACATACAGGCATTATAATATTTGCTGCTGATTTTATTCACATAACCAGTTAATTCCAAAAGTTAAGCTGATTCTCCAAGAAGATGCACCATGTCTGTGATATGACTCTGACCTCCCCAGGGCAAGCCACAAACCAGCTGTCAAGACCCATAGTCCTAGAAAGAAGATTAACTTGGGCAGTGTCCCTAGCCCTCGCTGGCATGAGCCAAACTAAAGGGCTTCTTGACCTTGTACAGAAATTCAGCATGAAATGAAAGGGTAGGATCCCAACCCCAAGCTCTGAACCTAAAGATCTGACCCTAAAGATCTGTCCTTAAAAATCCCCCTCTGCACCAGCTCCCTGATCCTAGGCAGAAGGCTCTAATTTCACAGTCTCTCAATACTTCTGGGCCTCTTGCCCTTCCCCTACCCCAACTCTGAGTTTAGAGACTAGTCTGGAACAGACCTGCATTCTTGTCACCAGAATTGTGCCTATAAAAGAGTTGGAGCCACCTCTTGTCTTTGCCCAATGTATGCCATCCAAATCACATACATGTGCTTCTTTGTCCTTGGGTAGTATTATTCCTTATGCATCGGAATGGGTATCTGAATATGATTTATTCTGTGCGGGCGGAAGAGACAGACTCCTCACAAGGCTGCGCGTATTTCCCACCCCATGGCTGGAGAGGTGGGGAGAGGTAGGCGAAAGAGCAAAGCCAGGTAGAGATATCTTCATCTCTCCTCTCTTTCCTCAACAATTTGCTCTTCTTCCCTTTGCCAATTTCTGCAGAATGGAAACATGAGAGAGGAGAGGTAAGACAGCAGACTTGTAGGTGTACATCCGGTGGGCAGAGGTCAGTCAACCGGGCTGGGAGGAGGCAGGGGCAGGAAGTGCACTTCAGGCTCCTGCAACCCTCAGCAGGCAGAGCTGATGGCACAGAGGCCACCCTCCTCTTCATCAGGCTTGGGCCAGGCTCCAAAATCACATCTTCCTTTGTGGGTGGCTACCACCCAGTCTATCTCTTGAGGCTCTCCTATACCCTAAGCTCAGTTTCAGAATCTTTCCAGAGTTCCCCTTTCTTGTAGTTCCAGGAATCAAGCCTGAGACCCTTTCGTAAGGATTTTACTGCTGATCCTCACAAGCAGCTCATTAAGTACTCAGTCTACAGCTGGACTTGTTGGGGACTCCCTCAGACCCCGAGCTTCCTCTTTTATAATCAAGTAGAGCCCCTGAAACATTTCCTTCCCTCCAAGAACCCCTCTGCCCTCCAGCTTTTTAAGACCCTTCATAAGGTCAGGTCCCCTCTTCTAGTGTGCAAGCCATGAGAGGCCTCCACAGTGTCTATTCAGGGTCTCATTCTTGACCTAGTGTCTATGTCTACAAGGTTCCCGGACCCACACAGAAATTGTCCACTCAGAGGAGCACGAGAAAAGCCCCCTACTCTTGCACCTGGATCCACTCCAACAATTTACTCATTTTAAGGGCTGGAATTCTCTCAAAAGTTGATTGCAGAGTTTATACTTTGTCCCTGTAGGTCTGTTGGCCTTACAAACACTCCTTCAAAGGAACCGTATTAGTCACCTTAATGGGCAGATTCTTATCAGACCACTTTCTTCAAAGACTCAAGCCAGGTAATGTTGAGAGAGCTGGGCAGAGCCAGGAGTGGCTGCTGGAATGGAGGATCACAGTGACCAGCACTAAAGTCCTGGGTGTCACCATTTTCCCAGGGCAGCGTGTTCTACAAGGGAAGGCAAGCGCTGTGTCCTTTACTGAAGATTGAAAAACCCGGTCCACCCTGTGATTCTGGTGCCCTCGCCAATCCCAGCCTCAGACTCTGGGAGACCCTTGGCCTCCTTCCCTGTCCCTGGCCATGATGGCTCAAAGCCCTGGACACCCCGTGTTTATGTCAACAAAGTGGTTTCCAGAGAGGGCAGACTCTTGCCCGCCAGGGGGTGTCTGGTGCCCATAGCCTGCCTGTTGTTTGTGTACCTTGTCTCAGTAGTGACCGAAGGGGCAGGCGCGCCCGAGCTGTCTCTGGGGCAACACTCTGTTGGGGTTCCAGCTGTCCCTGCACATAAAGCACCGACTCCAACCATGCACCCCCAAGGTATCTTCTTTCAGAGTGAGAATTTAAACTTTCCTCTGAGGTTCTATTTTCCATTAGCCTTTTTCCTGGCCTCTCTGCTTCACATCTAGCCAAGGCCCAAGGAACAGGCAGGCCTGACCCCATCCCCTCCCTTTCATCCACCAAGAGAGCCCCTGAATGTTTTCTGAAATAATCATGGAAAAAATGGGACGGGGAGTGGCTGGCTGCAACTATCCAGGGTCTCACCCATCCTTCAGGGACAGGAGCCCACAGAGAAATGCTGGGAGAGTTCTGTTAGCTTTCTCTCCTCACTCACAGTCATGTGGTGTCGCTATCCCTGTATCCCCAACACACACATGTACCCCTCAATATCAAATACTTGCCAGAGACTGCTCTCCCTGCAAGAGCTCCTGTCGGGCCTCTCTAGCTGCTCTGGCTCCTTCTTCCCCTCCTCACTAGCTGGCCTCAGGAATCCTGGTAGGGTAGGGACTGAATGGCAAAGGGGTCAAGAGCATGACACTGGAAACAAATAGCTCTGATTCACTAGTGGCACGCCGCTTAACCTCTAGGTCTCAGATCCAAGATCTGTAAAATGGGCGTTCTAACAGTACCTACCCCAAACATCCTTGTGAGGAGTGAAGGAATTAAAGTGCAGGTGCTGAGGGTATTGTCCGACCAGCAGCCAGGACTGTGTTAATGTCAGTTCACTGCTCTCCTTGTTACTGAGGTCCAGGCAGCATAAGATGCAGGAGGGAAAGGCTAGGTTTAAACTCCAGCACATCACTGAGCTCCTGTGTGACCTTGAACAAAATACCTCACTGCCCAGTTTCCTCCTGTGCAGGAGGACATTGATAGAACCTTCCCCAACAGGGGTAGGGGTAAGGGACAGGGCACCCAGCCCCCCAAAGCGTGTAGTAGCAGCTGCAGGGGGAGGAGCCAGGATCTTGGCACCTGATCCCCCAGATTAGCTGTTGTAACTCTGGGGCCAGTGGGGGGAACTGGTCTGACTTGGAAAGGAGAGCCAGGAATTTAGGTCTACAGGAGGAGCCATAAATAGCCAGAGCAGGTCAAAGGGCCTCCAGGGATGCCGGGGGGACATGACACGAGGTGCTGTGGAAAAGGAAGCTGTCAGTCATCAGCCTCAAGGCACTCTCCCACAAGTTAAAGGAAAACTATCCAGGGCTATGGTGGGGGCAAGGGATCATCTCTTCAGGGAGAACAGTCAGGGACTCCCTCTGCGCCCTCTCCCAGGGTCTCTCAGAGCTATTAGGAGAGTCAGAAAGCTCACCACCACTTACCTGTGCTCTGTGGTCTTTGCCATCCCCCCAACCTTGTCCTTCACTTTGATTCCTTTGACCATCCTGGAGGAGATAGCAGCAGTTAGCCCGTGTCATGGGAGGAAAACTGAGGCCCAGAGATGCAATTTAGCCAAGATCACACGAATCAGAGGCTGAGATAGGATTGTGAACACAAACTGTTTTTCCTCCTAATCCAGGGTATACATGAAAGCCAAAATATAAGAACCTGGGCTGGGTTATAGCTCAGTTGGTGGAGTGCTTGCCTTGTGTGCACAAGGCCCTGGGTTTGATCCCCCACACCAAAAAAAAAAAAAAAAAAAAAGTAAGAATCTGCCCTCAGGAACAACCCCATCCCTACCAGGAAGAGTGAACTGACAGGAGTCTTCCTGTCAGAGAGTTTTCCTTGCCCTTAGTTGATCCAAGCACATCAACTAAGGGATAAGGACTCCTGCTTCTAATGTGTCAGAGATGTTCATTAGCCCTGGAAATCAGGCTGAACTTAGGCTCAGAAGGCCTGGACTCAAATCCTTGGTGATCTTGTACAAATCATTTTGCCTCAGATCCCTAATGTACAAAATGAGGGCATCATCCACACCCATGAGAGCCTGGGGTGAGGTTAATGCCCCAAGTGTCATAAAGACTGTTAGTCCCTGCTCATGTATCTTTGTTTTCTTGGTATTTACTACACACAGAAGCCCTTGTTAAGTGTCGATTAAATAAAAGGATGAAGTAAACTCTTCTTAATTAAATGTTGTGAGTTTGTGTGATGATAAATATTCTTTGCTATTTATCAGTTGCTACTATCTTTTCATGATGGACATGGGCACTATTCCCTCTATCCTGTGCTTGATTCCTTTGGGAAAATGCCTACAAAATCATCTCTGGACAAGAATTAGTAACAGGCAGGGTGACATATAATTCACTGTCCACACTGAGACACTTTGGGGAGTCAAAGGGTTATGCATAAGTGACCAGGCACTCTACAAACCCTGCACCATGCTGCTCGGAACTCTCTGGAGGCAGGAGTCCTCTGTAACCAACAGTCCCGGCTGCTCCTAGGCAGACCCTTGGAAAGGTACCCTATGTTCTTAGCACTATCCAACCCCAAGTGAAGCTATGTTCAGGCCAGTTTCCTAGTGTTTTTCCATTCCTCATTTCAACCTGCAGATGACCCTGATCCCTCCCTTTCATTTTCCCGAGAATGTTCTAGTGTTGATTTACACTGCCCCAAACATGAAGACTTATGACCCGGGGAAGCACGTGTCAGGTGAGCTGCAAACTGGCCATCTTCTGCTGCCTTTTAGCTCAAGGGCTTTTGCTTTTCCTCTCTGCAGTTTCAGCAGGCTTCTAACTGGTCTCTACTATTGCTCCTTCCCACCACTGCCCCGATCTCAATCAAGCAGCCAGGGAGATCCTGCAAAAACTAAGTTGGAGCATGTGTTTAATGTCTTCAGGGATAATGGCTTCCCATCTCACCCAAAGAAAAAGCCAAGGTCCTTAGAAGAGTCCACAGGGCCCCAGTCTCCTTAGCTCTTGCTCCCCTCTTTCACCTTCTCTCCTAGGACTCTGCAGCCTTTGCTACCTTTGTTCCTCAAACACAGTAGGAACATTCCACCTCAGGGCATTTGCACCACTGCTTCTCTCCTTGGAACTTGAGCTTTCCCTTTAGAGATCCTTATGATTAGTTCCCTTGCCTCTTTCAGAGCTTATCTCAATTCTTGTTCCCTGGCCAGCCTATGAAAAAAAACTCAGTCTCACACCTTGCCCCTTTATCTTCCCTTCCCTGCCTTTTCTCCTTAGCCTTTAGCAACACCAAACATCATAAAGATAAATATTTTACTTATATTATTTATTATCCAACCCCTGCAAGCTCCATGAGGGCAGGGACTTTCATTTGCTTTGTTCTTTGCCATCATTTCAATACTAAAACAACACCTGGCATAGAGCAGATGCTCAGTTAAATATTTGTTAAATGAATCAAGGACTGATTGAGAGGGAACATGGCATGCAGGCTGAATGTTTGTCTTCCGGACAGTCTGTGAATCTCCCCGTGTGCAGCATGGGTATAGCACACATGGTCTCCCACAGCAGTAGAGACGTTAAGTCTAATCTCCTGTGTAGACCACTAAACTCACCGCCAGGCCCATTTAAAATCTTGGTCAATGTGCAGCTCCTGTCACTCCTGTTCCATTGGCCATGGCATCATGGGTTCACAAAAGCCAAAGTAGCATCTACTCCCTTTGAGTCACAATTTACACACTCTTCCCAAATCATGTTTTTATCCTACCTCTCCTTGGGACTCTTCCTCCCTGAATCCAGGTTCCCCCAGTGAAAATGGCTGGGCTCTCTGCAACCACCCCCTTTACAGCCTGCTTGAAACTCTGAGCTTCTCCTCGTAATCTTCAGATGTCTGCCCCGTGGCCCTTTCACAATCTCCCCCATGAGCTGGGAAGGTTGGAAACAAAGGGCAGAGGGAGAGGAAGGCAGGGAAAAGTAGGCCTCCCATGCCCACCTGCCAGCTTTCTGTCTTTTCAGACTGATAGATAGGGGATAGTAATGGCCAGAGTTTCCATTCCCCCACCCTGGCACCCTCTGTCACTCAATTAAAAAAAGATAGAGGGAGAGGGCCTGGGGGAGGGGCAGGAGGCCCTGGTTATAAAGCCTGTCACTGAGGGACACAAGCACAAAGCCTGGCCAGCCAGGTCCTCTTTCCGTCATCCCCAGCCATACTTAGCTGCTGACAGCTGCTTGGGACTCTGCCGCCAGGCCCTGGCCCAGACCCGCAGCCTCTCCTCTCTCAGTAACTCCTGAACCACAGCCCCTCTATGGCCCAGAAAGAAGAGGCTGCTGCGGCTGCTGCACCGGCCTCCCAAAATGGGGAGGACCTGGACGACCTGGAGAACCCCGAGAAGCTGAAGGAGCTCATTGAGCTGCCGCCCTTTGAGATCGTCACAGGGTGAGACTTGGACATGGGCCTGGGTCCTCCTCCCTAGGAGATTTTAGGCGTGCGGCATGCTATGGACAGTGAGTATGCAAGAGCAGAGGTCAGGGTTAGCCACAGCTCTGGGAGAAGGCACCTGTGTACCTGGCAGGGGTCTTCAGGGTGTCTTGGCCTCTTGGGCACCAGTTTGGGCTCTCTCAGGAGAAGGCAGAGGAACTCTTTGGAGGCAAGCACCCAAATATGAAACCGCCACTATGGCCTCCTGATATTGGGAGTCACCTGCCTTTCTGGAGAGAGGCTTATTCCCAAGAAGTTTGGTAAGACTTGCACATTTTAAGATGGCCCCAAAGTCATGTTCCCCCGCCCCCACCACCACCACCACCACACACCTCATCTCTCTGCTCTGCTTCTGAGTAGGTCTCTCCTTATGTTTATGTCTCTGGCACTTTCTTAGAGTTTCTCTCTGGAGTAGAAGATTTTAAGGCAGATCTATCCTTTTCCAAGGTTGAGTGAGAAACAGTTTTCACCTTATTAAGTCTCTTCTGAGTCTCCCCAGAGACTGTCTGCTCCCCTCCTAGGGAAGAAATCACAGCACAGATAACACAGGCCAGGGACTTCTGGACAGAGGAGCTGTTCCAATGAGCTCAGCTCAAGTGAGGCTGAGTAAAGTGTCTAGAGACTCCAGAGGGGAGCCATGTATAGGGTCCCTCTATCTTGTCGATTGTGCCACTTCTAAGAATAAAATCAAGTGTCTTCCTCCTTTCCCCTCTCTTTCTATAGAGAAAGATCCTGCTGAATCTTTAAGAATCCTTAAGAAAGGAAAATGTGGGCCCACACTTTCTCCAGGTCCAGGATTTCCTTCACAGGGGGCTCCAGCACCGTGCACAGGCAGAGTGGGCACCCCACTGAGAGAAGTTTCAGAAAGAATGGAGGCACCATGCCCTCAAGGGTGGGAGGAGCCCTGGGTGGTAATTTGAACTTGCTATTTGATGCTTGACAAGTGATTTTCCAGTCTTGGTTTTATCATTTCTAACTGGAGAAAGTTACGCTAGTTGACTTCTAGACCCCTTCTAGCTCAGATATTTTCCGATTTCTAAAGGAGCCTAAGGGAAAATGCAGCCTAGTTCCTGAAGTGTGAGTAGCCCTTGTACTTCCGTTTGCCCATGCTCAACCAGCTAATCGTACCCTCATCCTAGGATTAGGGGAGCAGCTGGGCACAGACTAATATAGACACAGGGAAAGCCTAGGGCAACCAGGCCAGGGGCGTCCTCAATTCCAGGGGCTCTTATGGAAGATCCTTTTTCTAACACCTCAGCATGCTAAGCCACGCTGTCTTTGCTCACACACACCCCACTGCATGCAGCACTGTGCTCTCCCTAGCACAGAAGCTAAATTAGACTATTGAATTGAACATGCTCTGGGTCCCGTGGAAGTGGGTCCTGAGGGTTAAGTCCTCTGATGTAACTGACATTTGTCAGGGCTTTAAAATCACTCATGCTTTCAAGTGAATGAGCTCATTCAAATCCTCAGCAGATGCTAGGAGAGGGAGATTGATTACTGCCCCTTACAGCAGGGGAAACTGAGACTCAGGGAGACTTTGTGACATGTTCAAGGCCACAGAACCAGGAAGTGGCAGATCTTCTGACCACCAGTCAAGTTTCTTGGCCACTGGTCTCTTTTTACTTGATTTCATTTTTGCCACTTGTCTCCTATCATCCTGGGTCCATCTGCAAGGTAGTGAGGGTCAGAGGCTTCCCATGACCCAAGGCTCAGAGAAACAGGCAAAGTAGGCAGCTTTCTGCACACTCTGAGCGCACTTCAGGTGGAAGGTGGAGCCTGAGTCTTTTCTGGCCACAAGCAACAGCTGTGGAGATCTGTTTCCTTGGCCCCTCTGGGTAAACAGATGCTTAAAATAGCCCAGAGGTGGAGCTTCCACATGCCCAGAAATCCAAGGGACCAGCAAAGCCAGTCCTCTCCTAGCCTGGACTCCCATAGGGAATGGATCAAAATGCTCCCTATATTTTTGAGCTGGAAACCAGCAGAAGAGAGATGACTTTTCAGAGAATAGTCCGAAAAAGGGGGTAGCTGGTAAGGATAAGAGATGACTGCAGTACTTCAGGTTGAATAAGGTGCTCAGGATGAAGCAGACCTAAGTACATTAATAAAGCAACATGGTGGAATGTGCTGGAAAAAGGGCCTAAAACTGCAATGAAGCTAGCTCCTATTGGCTTGAAAGGTGATCATGTGTATCTTTTCCCTATTCTATGTTCAGTGACTTCTCCATAGCAGAAGTAATTACATTACAAAAATCAGAAAAGGTTAGAAATCGGGGTTGTTGTTGTTTTTCTTTCTTTCTTCCAGAGTTGAGTGTTAAATATTTAGCAGTACACCACTCCAACTGCTAGAAGTGAGAGGAAGTGAAGAAAAAGGAAAGGTTTGGAAATGTAGGAGATGGAGCTCTAGGACAGGCAGGGTGGCACACACCTGGAATCCCAGAGCTTTGGTTGTGGCAGGAAGATCACAAGTGGCAATTTAGTGAGAATGTGATTCATTAAAAAAAAAAAAAAAAAAAAAAAAAAAAAAGCTCAGTGGTAGGAGCACCCCTGGGTTCAAGCCACAGTACCACAAAAATAAATTAATTACAACGAAGCTCTAAAGACATGATTTGAGCCTGGAAAAGGCACTGTCCATCAATACTAGCTTTAATTTATTGAGATTCTACCACTGTTCACAATCTAAAAGGCTAGATAATCTTTCAGATAAGGAAGCTAAACCTTAGAGGGCTAGGTAATTTGCCCAGCTAGTAGAAGGGCAAGAACTCCAGGATTGTCTGATTCCAAAGCATCCCACCACAACCGAAGCCATAAAGAGGATTACTTTACATTCACAAATATTTCCTGAGTAGGAATTGCTATTTACTGCCCATTTTTCCCCAATAGTAATATTTACCCCACAGGGGGCAGGGACTTTGTCTTTTTCTGCTTTATCCTTAGCACCTGTCTCCTAATAGGTACCCAACACATATTTCCTGAATAAAGGAATGAACTAATGAATGAATATTTATTATGTATTAGTCTCTCTGCCAGATCTGTGATGGGGAATGAATTGGAGAAAGATCTTCTGGCAGAGAAAAGCTCAGGATGTCTGGGGACCTGGTGGTGCTGGGTTTAGATGAGAATTCTCTGGGTGCATACCTAACTCTGCCTGCAGGAAGCTTAGGGGTGCTCCGAGGCACCATGGTAGGTTGTCTCCCCATCTCCCCATCCCAGCAAGGAGTGACTGGCAGCACCCTGCTAGTTGTATTGTGTATGTTTTTGCAAAAAGCAAAATCTATCATCAATGGGATTATTACACAACAGAGATAAGTGGCAGATGGAGTGGGTCTTCTTTCAACCACTTCTTGAGCTACCAGGAATTTCCTGTGGCCAAATGAGGGATAGAGAGAAGAGGCAGCGTCTAGAGAAGGATGCCTCTGGAGCATGATGGGTGAAGAAGACAGCCCACCGACTGCCACCCTGGCCTGCATGGAGGGTTGGTAGGAGGTCAAAGCTATGTGCAAATATGGTACCTCCTGGGGAGAAGGGCTTGCCTGGGGCAGATCCTCATCCAGTCCTGTGAATCTACAGCTCCCTCCTCAGCTCTGTAACCCTCTGCCTCTGCGCCACACTCCTCTCCCTGACTAGGCTTACTCCTTGGCATCCACTTTGAAAGTACTCTGAAAAAGAAGGCAACCGAAGAAAAGAGCAAGGCTACACCTTCCACACAGGTCACTGGCAGGTCTAGTGAGGGAAAGCTGAAATGAGTCAATGTTCAATCCCTTGTGAGTAGGTTTTCCACTTAGAGAGTTGTCTGGAAGCAAACGTTTCATTTCAGACCATCTTCTACTGCCCTCCAGGTTGCCCCTTTTCATAGTACAGATTTCTACTTTGGAAATGCAAACCTTTAAAATGCAAACCTGAGAAAAAGACGTACTCACAGCTCTTCTCCCTCCTTCAAGCAGACCATCTTCCCAATTCTTGCTAGATATTAGGATTCTGGGTTTCCCTCTTAGATAATTATGATGCCCATGGCCTTGTATGCAGAAAACATGAGACAAGGATGCCTAAATTAAGTGCTGCCTGAAGCTGCAGGAAGAAAACAGGAATCATATAATGGTGGTTTCTGTTCCTGAAGAAGGGACTGAATGCAGAGGGAGGGAGATCTACTACCATCATCTCTCGGTCACACCACTCCAACACACATGTGCATGCACACACACACACACACACAGATAGAATGCACCCCCTGCACACACACACACACTCCTTTAATAGTGAAATTATCTGCTGGGGTTCTAAAAAAAAAGGTGTAAGTAGATATAATGCCTAGGCATATCATGTTTTTAGAAAACACCGTTTGTGATTAAGAAGGTAGGTGTCACTATGTCCTTTCTTCCACCAGTGGGCATAATAGCGTTGACTTATCTTGTGATTCCACAAAATCAACTGAGGTGGCCATGCTATCCAGCTTGCTGCAGAAATGCCAGACCTCCACTACCTCTGTTCTCCTGGATTCCCTCCAGGACCTGGCTGTTTTAGTCTGCGGGAAGCCCAGAGTACCTCACTTGACCCTCATGCTCCTTCTGGAAGACCAAGAAGCCCATCGAGATGCCAAGCAAGCTCAGTCTCTGGGCAAGCCCAAAGGAAAGACTAAAAGCCAAATCTTCCCTGCCTTTCCTTTGCCCATTGAAAGCTCTTCTCCTCCAGCACCTCTTCCAGAGGGCCCCGCTGAGGGACAGAACCAGCTCTGGGGCTGCTGGCCAGAGGGGTCAGAAAACGATATTTATAGAGAGATGACCTTTCTTCTCCCTGCTTGGGTTTCAGGTTTCTGATTCTTCTCCTCTTGCCCAGGGAAGAGGTAGGGAAAATGTCAGAACTTTAGTGGGGCAGAGAGAAGCAGGCTTCTCACAACTACCCAGCCAAACTTGCAGTTGTATGCAGCCAAATTCATACTTCTGGCTGAACTACACTTAGCAAAGGTGGAACAATGCTTTGGGAGATTCCAGAAGAAACCTGAGGGACCTCATAGGTAGCTACTGCTGAAGTCCCCAAGTAATGATGAATATTTCCAAGGATTTCCACTGGAGAATCTATCATACAGGTGGCTCTGCATTGACCTGGAGAAGGGAGGGTGGCCTGGCAAAAGATCTTGAGGAATAAAACAAGGGTCTGGGCTAAAAAGATGAGTTCTGTACTTCTCAGGAGCAAAATCTACTCCAGAGAGTGATGGGACCCCTGAGCAACTTGTAGAATTCAGGAGCAGGCAGGTGGAGTAACTAGGAAGAGCTTGGGATAAGTGAATTTTCAGCAGGGACTGAAAGAGGAGAGAGGAAACATCAGGTGATCTATTCTGCTAAAATGTTAAGTAAATAATAAACACCTGCATCTAGGGACTCAGGGGCTTAGAGAGCTAAGTATAGTACTTGAAGGGAATGTGGGGCTGGGTCCTCAAACACATTCATCTCCACAGTGGAAACTTAACCTGACAGCAAGAGACATGGAAACTTGTGTAGAAAAAATTTGGTGATGGAGTGGGGGCAGGGAATCCTGCAAGGAAACAACTCAGGTCAGCTCTTGGCATCTGCTGTTACCCTTAAGCAGCCAAGGCTCTGGGATACCAGGGATTCCCCTGTAGCCCAGGGAGTCTGGTGACCTTTCTGGGGAATAAGAAAGGGTGGAGACAGGGCATGTGAGTTAGTGATGCCACAGTTATCTTCTCGGGAAGGCACAAAGATTACTTGTTTGGCTATGCTGAGCATGGAGGGAACCTAGGGCCTTGTGCATGGTAGGGAAGTGCTCTGCCCTGAGCTACATCCCCAGCTCTGAGATTATACTTTTAAAAAGAAATACATTCGGCGTTTCTAGTTGGTACTCACCCCTCCTTTACTTCTGAAAATCAATCCCTCCTATTAAAACCTCCTCATTCTCCTTGACCTTCACACCTGCACAGATTTTTCCTATTTTAGAAAAACACACACATAAACAGAAATACAAAAACTATCAACTCCGACGCCCTCTGTAGCTCTTCTCCTATTTTGTCTCCTTCTTACTATTAAAAACCTGGCCTTTTCCTAATTTTCTAATCATCCTTCTCCTCTTTGAAGCCACTGGACACCTGAACTCCTTGTCACTAAGTTTGGTGTCCTAAGACGATTAGTCACTTTTTCACCCCAGCTACACTCCATTGGCCATAGTAACCTGCTGTGGATGTCACTTTTAAATGCTTTTCTACAAAAAAACTGGTAACAGTTCTCTGCTGCCTCCTGATTGAATCAACGTGAAAGTTTTAATACCATAGGTTCTCTAGTCTACCTCTCCACTTTTAGCAGTTTTCTAATGCTCTCAGCTCTTTTATTTTTGCCTTCTTGGGCCAGCTAGAATCCAGCTGCTGGACTATAAGCATGTGGATGGCAGTGGCTACATCTTTCATGACTCTGAAATGACTCAATATTACACACAAGCTTGCTTATCCCAAGGTATCCTTGGGCAGTCTTGTCTCACAGGTAGCAATTCTCACACAGACCATGTGACAATCCTTTCACCTGAAGGAAAAGACAGACTTGAGAAACTGTCTACAAGCATACTACAAGACCTAGGCCATTCCGCGCTCAAAATGCAATTTACATGAGCTACAAGGAGAAATGAAAGCATGAAATGCTTTGCAAAATCTTTGTCTTGCTCTGTCATGAGAAATTTAACACACTTGCTACTTGGTAAAATTGTTATTTGAGCATTGCTTGTCAATCCTAGACACACATTAGAATTCTCTAGAGAGTTTTAAAAAAATACGGATGCCTGGGACTTTTCTCTAGACATTCTGATTTAATTGATTTGGTGTGGGACCCAGGCTTAGTCCTCCTTGTGACTTGAAGGTATAGCCAGATTAAGGGTTCACTGATTTAGGATGTGCTGTTTAGATGGTGGAAAGTGTTGAGGATCCTTCCTAGTGAGGTGACCAGAACACAAACCCAATCCAAATTCTCTCCCTCCCTCCAGGTAAACACTTCTGGGTTCTTTCATGCCTTTTTATGACTGTCATTAGCATAGGCAAGACCTATTTTTAGTAAGAGTGGATGTCTTGGAGATCTACCTACTCTAGGCTGGGTCTAGACACAAGAACTCATCATTCTCTCTCTCCTTCCCTGTCCCTTTGTCTCCTTTACCTACAGGGAGCGGCTGCCTGTCAACTTCTTTAAGTTTCAGTTCCGGAATGTGGAGTACAGTTCTGGGCGGAACAAGACCTTCCTCTGCTATGTGGTTGAAGCGCAGGGCAAGGGAGGCCAAGTCCAGGCATCTCGGGGATACCTAGAGGATGAGCATGCAGCTGCCCACGCAGAGGAAGCCTTTTTCAACACCATCCTGCCCACCTTTGACCCGGCCTTGCGGTACAATGTCACCTGGTATGTGTCTTCTAGTCCCTGTGCAGCTTGCGCTGACCGCATTATCAAAACCCTTGGGAAGACCAAGAACCTGCGCCTGCTCATTCTGGTGGGGCGACTCTTCATGTGGGAAGAACCAGAGATCCAGACTGCTCTGAAGAAACTGAAGGAGGCTGGCTGCAAACTGCGTATCATGAAGCCCCAGGATTTTGAGTACATCTGGCAGAATTTTGTGGAGCAAGAAGAGGGTCAATCCAAGGCCTTCGAGCCCTGGGAGGACATTCAGGAGAACTTCCTATACTATGAGGAGAAGTTGGCAGACATCCTGAAGTAGGCAGCTGGGCTCGGCCTCATGTGAGTTCTCCTGGTTCCAGGGCACCATTTTTCCACCAACCGTTCACTTGAATAAGACGCGAAGTCAGGTAGAATGAGTGGCACAATGTTTAATCTGCATTGGAAGGATTGCACTTCTCTCCTTTTGGTTGGTTTTAAAACATTTTAGAACATTTTGTTTCATTTTCTCTTACCTCTGAATCTTTGTGCCAAAATCCTTTCCCTTTTCTATCCTTTTATTTCAAACTAACTTCCTATAACTTGGAAAACCAAGGTTGAAAGGGATCCTAAAGCTTTGACAAAACTTCAGTAAGATTTAGATGGCACAAGGGCCACTTACCGGACAACAGTAGAGAAGATAAGTCCCCCAAGCATGTCCCCTTGAGCATGTGTCCAGACTTACTCTGCTCCCAAGCTGTCTGCAATCTACACATCTGCTTTTCTCTAATGCAGGTTTTTCGTTCTTTAGGGGCAATTCTTTCATTTTTGGTAATTCTGAAATTCCCAAGTGGATTTGTAGTCAACTTTTGGTTTTGGCCAGACCTGCTTTTATGTTTTCAAGCAAATGGTTATGCTTTGAGGGAGATCAATAATTGCTGCATGAATGCCTAATGCAAGAACATTTTCCTTATTGAGAAGACCTCAGCATTGGAAAATGCTGAATGCAAGAATCAGGATAACACAGCCACAAACTTGTTTATACAGGAATGTTTAAAGGGTTAAAAAGATGTTTATAAATTAGGTGGCAGCTCAGAAGTAGCCTCCTACAGATATCAAGAGGTGATAGGAGAACTGGAAGTAAAGATTAGCTATTTAAGCAAATAATTAGGACACAATTAAGGCCAATTTGGCCTCTTGCTGAGGGTAAATTAGACTCTTACAGAAAAAGGCCAATTATCCTCAGGAAAGAGGGTAAAGGATCCTTTACTATCTTTTTTTAAATTTTGTCTGATCTAGTTTGCTCCCACAGAAATGCTATGACTGAACTGAGCCCCGTTACAAGGCCACAGTTACTGATCAAAACCTCTGATGATAGAGATGGGTATTTAACCCCCCTCATACTCAACTTTAATTCTCAAACAACTCCCATATTAATAAAACATGAAAGCAACATGTTTCTATTAATTCTTCTTCTTTTTTTTTTTTGGTGATTCTCACTCCTAATACCCCTAAGACAAGATGCTGCTTTATAGACACATTTAGGAAATATCAATGTTCTGGAGCTTGCTGTTGGCAGGTGTTTTCTATTAGGCACACACATAAGGCACTTGCTCATTCTCAGGCTGAGTATTTGCAATTCCTGAAGACATGATTTTCAGTCATTTCTTAAAAAAGAAGGACTCAGTCTTTGAATTCAGTTGGGGAAAAGCATGAGGTAATCTGCTCACAGAAAATATGACACTTACTCTGGGTAGTGGTGAGCATCAAGAGACAGACTGCTGAGAGTGACCTTTTAAAACTTTCAAAATTCCTGAAACATTTTTTTAGTATAATTGGTATCACTATAATCATAAACCCAACATAGACTCTAAAGAGAAATGAAGAATAGTTTAATTTTAACCCTATTATCCTTTCTTAAATATTTTTCATGGGCCACTTCTAGCTACCTAACTAACAATCCTCAGGGATTTTGTTTTGATTTTTCAGGGATTTTTTTTCCATTAAAATTAAGCATTTTCAGGGGTAGTATGATTTTGGATAATTGAGGGTTGTAGCTCATACTGATTTAAGTCAAAAAATAAACCAGTTTGAAGAAAAAGTCCATTTCTAAGTCAGATTATTTAAAAATAGAGTATTACTGGGACATCGCCCACATTATAAGCCTCCTTCTTCAGCATACATATAAAACTATGCCCTCTAAGTCTACTACATGCTCCCCTGTCCTCTATTTAAATGCTCACAATCCTGAAGGAAATGCACCAAGTTTTTAAAAAGGCATGAAATAGAGTTGTAGTCTAAAAGCCCAAAAGAACAACCCAGCTTAATTAAAATCATCGCAAGAAATGAACATCTGTTAAATAAGATTTGCCTCTTAAAAATCATCCCAAGAAATGAGCATTAGTTAAATAAAATTTGCCTCTTATCTCTTACTTCACCTTTTGGGAAAAAAAGTTTAACCATATATTTAACCAAGAGAAGAGTTAAAGATTTCTCTGGGCCTTTCCCTGCATAAATCACACCAAAACATGAATGAAAGAAACAAACCCAATCCTGGCTCAGTCAGGAACCACAGAAAACTATGGAGAAGAAATTCTGGATTCAGGGATTTGTTGGTACCTACAAGGCTCTCAGTAACAATCTGTTTTTTTCATGAAGGTCTGCATGCTGCCGTCAAGAGACAGTAGTGACATATATGCCATCTTGAACCTGCCTGTCTTCCTAATATGACCATCTGGAGCTGGACAACATCTGACATCAACTAATCGCACTGGACAAGGCCCTCAGAGGACTCAATACACTTCTCACTGCCATAATCCATTTAGGTTGTGCCTGTCTCTCTTATGCTGCTTTGGGGAAACAGGAAAGTGAACAACAAGGAGAGAAAAGCAACTACATATGGGCACCAGGCATCTGTGGGGCTGCAAGTCTTAATGACTCCCCATTGGAGCTGCTTAAGGCATAGGGCTTCAGACCCACAGTATAGATATTTGAAATACATCCAGAAATGCATTTTATGTTAAATTGGGCTGTTTTATTTTAAGAAAGAAAAACAGCAACATTAATAAAAGAAATAGTGTGGTTTTTCTGTGGCCTGATATTTTAAGGAACTTGTGCATCAGGAAGTTACCATGGACAGTAAGTCAATCAGGTGTAAGGACGTCTTAGACCATGACATGAAAGGGAAGATTAAACCAGAACCTCCCAGACAACAGGAACTACCTTTCCCATGCACACTGCCCACCACGGTCTTGCCTCTCTTAAACTAATTTCTTCCGAGGTGACTTGTAAATGAGGGCTTTCCCCCTTCTCTGACAAAACCATAGCAGAACGTGGAACAAAAAGCAGAGGAATGTTGTAAGATACCAACATCCCAATTGCCAGTGAATAAGCAGTTAGCTTCTTGATTAAGAGGAGGATGAAAGGCACTTCAACGTGTAGACACACACATCACGTAAGAGTATTCAATACATGATTCTTGATAGTGTTGGAAGAAGAATGTCAAAAGTCTTACTTCTTAAAAGGTTTGAGTCCTACATGGAAACAAAATTTCACATGTGAACTTCTGGGTGTTTGCCAAACTCCAACTGGGTTTCCAAGAATAATGTGTTCATTTTGATTATCAGGCCATGCCTCCTTTCCCCAGGCTTCAAGTGTGATAAGTCATCGGAATTTGACCCCAAGACTATCTGCAACTGACAAAACACTTTATCACATCCCTGCTGAGTCCCAGAATTCCACTTACAGCCAATCCTGGATGAGACTAGGTTTTGTTAAAAGAATCATGTCTCATACTCCAAGAAAAAAATTAGCTGTAATCTTTTTAAAAGTAAAGGAAGCCTAGAAAACCAATGTTTTGACCGAGTGTTAAGATTTATTTGCCTAGGAGTGGAGGTGTAGTCAGTGGTAGCCTAACATGCACAAGTCCCTGGGGTCAATACCCAGCATCATAGTGGAGTTGGGGAGACATGAAGATTTATTTTGCCTAGAGTTAAACAAAATACTTTAATTCTTCAAGTTTCTACTTATCACCCCACTTTCATTTTCAATTTTGTGCATTTAGATATCCTCTCCCCACTTTTCTCCCTTCAATTTTATTTTCTGTAGATAGAAAATAAGAAAAGCCTTGGTCTCTTTGCTGATGAACTTGCCCCTGCTCACCAACAACATGCAGAACTGTCTGCTCCAAAAAGAGATATGAAAGGGAAATACTTTTTAGCAACTGTTGCCTATCAGGCTGAAATGTGATAAGAACATAAGTCTAAAGTACGAAGATTATATTTAACCAGTACTTTTCTGGTGTTTCAGTAAGCCCCTTCTAAATTCCAGTTGTTCTTTGACACTTAGCAAAGCAGCAAGTCCTGACAAACCCAGCATTCATCTTTGGGAGAAAAATCAGTAACATGTCTGGCTGTTTTAACTCTGAGAACCACAGCTAAGAAGGGGAAAAAATATGCCTCCTAGCTTTCCCAATAGCTCCAATACCAAGCCATTGTTTAAATCCATGAACTTTATTCTTCCATTATGAAAGTTCAGACTTGACATCTGAACTTCAGAAAAAAAAAAAAAAAAAGAATATTTACAGTGGTATTCTTGGGATCCCAGTTAGCTGCACATTTGAATGTTCTAGGGAAGTTAAAACACAAACTTGTCACCCCACCTTGCCAACAAATTAAAACTTTGTGAGAAAGTGCCTTTATAATTTTCAGAAGATTTCATAAGGACTTGGTTTAGATCACTGAGTTACTGCATCTCTATTCTGTGTGAAGCACTCTACCAGGCACTCAACACATGCTGCTTCCTGTGTGTCATGATTAAATTCGGATATATTCCATCACAGAATCTATGCAGAGGATGAGTTCACCATGAGATTCAAAACCTGCCTTCCAACTGCACTGATCCATAGTTTTTGTCCACTCATGTTTCTTACCTTGATACTCTTCCCAGTGGTCCCTCCAACTCTGAAATTAAGTTATCAGCTTATTCTCTGCTACTCAAGTCCAGAACAGATATGAGCACAGAACCTCATTGAACCCCAAGGAAAAGAGATTTATTTTTCCGTTTTGGTCACAAATTCCTTGTTAACAATGTAGAATTCAATTTTGTATTAACAAACAAAACATGATTCTCTCCTAGGATGAATTTCACCAAGAATAATGCCAAGTTAAGTGCACAAATGACAAAAGATGTACAAGTAATTTAAATGTTCAATCTTCCCGAAATTTCTCTTAAACGGCAAAGAAACAATCAATGTTGCCACCTAGTGGCCAGCCAACAAATCAGGTAGCATACTGGAACAAACAGAGGTCACAGGCCCAACTTTCTGGGTTCTGGGCCCAGTATCAGGCTGCAGACTTCTGACCTCCAGCAAAAAGCAGAGAAACATATCCCAAGCTATCCCTCCTCCAGAGTCCCAATCCAAATACTGGAATACAACAACCCAAGATTGGCCTATGACACAGAATATAAAGTGAAAATTTTCTGCTGCCCAATTTAAGGTCAGTTTGCTCAGTCCTATGGCCAAGTAGGAATGACACAGGAGAACATGAACACATAGAAAGTGTTTGTCTCTCAGAGCGTATACACAGTAATTTTGATGTCTGTTGCCTCAAATACCTCCTCAATCATTGCAGATACATTTTCCCATTGCAGACGATCAAGACCACATCCAATCCTAAAAAACAAAGATAAAACATTTCCATTGGCTGTGATGAAGGCATCTAGGAGACTGCTCTTTCCCTTTTCCTTTGGGCTATATCCCCCCAAAGCAGTTATTTGGCCTTACACCTATAGGCAGCCATGGTCAGAGTTTGGAAATAATTCTTGCTGTGAAGTCACCCGAGACCATTCCTACACAGCTCAAACATCCAATAGCTGTCACTTCTCTTTGCCCATTAAGATACCACTTCCCAATTATTTCATGCTAGATTAAAAATGTGTAACTCTGCCATGATACAGGAGATTCACTATCCCATTACCTCTCTACTGATAAAAACTGGCTACGGATGGATATGAAAAGGTTGGCATTTTTTTTTTTTTTTTCAAATACTGGGGATTGCACCTAGGGACACTTAACCACAGAAACACATCCCCAGCACTTTTCATTTTTTATTTTGAGACAGGGTTTCACTAAGTTGCAAGTCTCAAACTTGCAATCCTCCTGCCTCGGCCTCCTGAGTTGCTGAGATTATAGGCATGCGCCACCACACCCAGCTAGTATTTTCCAAATACATTCAAAATAATGTAATGTTAAGGAAAATGAAAAGGAGAAAGGGGACAAGGGACAGGACCTCTGCAAAAAAAAGGAGGTCAAGATGGAATGTTGGAAAATGCCGAAATGCTTGAAATCCAGGACTAAGGTCTTTGCAATACCCTGGTGAGAAACTTACATCACCTAGCACCTTTCATCCAAGATGTTACTTTATTGATCTTCAACATCCCTCAGGACAAGACGGGGTTAAAATTGCTAATTTCACATCATCATGTGATAATTAAGTCCCTGAAGAATTATGATAAAAAATAGTTACAGATTCATAAGCCATGAGTATATTAAAGACCAGTATAAGATAAGGGACACTGTAGCACATGCAAAGTAACTTAAGACTTGCAATAAACCTGCATGCATGGTCAGCACTGATGCAAAACTACTACGGTAGTGGGGAAAAAAGAGGTAAGGACTACTTCCTGAAAAGGAAATAAAGGACATGTTGAATACCCACTGTCCTTCCCATAAGTCCCCAATATCTAAGAAGTTACATCAGGGACAAATCCTCTGGCTACCACTCATGCTGACCACAAATAAGCATGCAGTGTAAAAGGCAACGATAATCTACAATTTTCTTGACACAGGATTAATTGGTTTGGGAGACCACAAGTGGCCCAAGAAAGAAATCACAATTGCCATGGTCAGAGTTTGGAAATAATTCTTGCTGTGAAATTGATTCTTTAGTTTACTTGGCAAACAGGCTTCAAGAAAAGTATGCCAAGAATTCAATAAATGTGACTGAATGGAAATGGTTTCTCCCCTATAAGTAGGCTGAGGCAGGCGTGTGTTTTGATGTGGGTTTATACTGATTCATTCAACTCAAGCTAGAAAATGGCTATCCCTTGGCCTAAATCAGACAACTGGCTCACTGGTGATCATACAAAGTTTGGAAATTTGTCTCTTTAAATCTGTATTTTCAGTTAAACTTTGAAGTTGTTCATCTTTGACTAAAACAGTCAACCCCACCAATTAAATCTTCATTTAGGGCCCTGGATTTCCTTGCCTGGGCATGGAGAGATCCGTGACTCCATTCTTCAAACAATGGGACTTCATGGCCTCTAAGCTCTTCTGTAAATTTTCATAAGTTGGCTTGTGTGAAGCCCTTTTCTTTGTAATCTGAACACAAAGATTCACATTCTCATTAGCTCAAAATGAAAAAGCCATTTGATTCCTTTACATCCTAATAAAAGAATAAATGCATTTTATAGAATAATTAATCTAGAAAAGGAATAGCAAATGTCATACTACTCCTTCCACACTTTATAGGAGGTCCCCAGAAAAACTCACTAAAACTGGATTAAGAAACTCAGACTCCACCTTTGAAATCTTTCTTTTCCCAAGGAAACTCAAGAGATTGGTAAACTGTGTCTATTGTCAATTGTTTCTAAGCAAAGCAAATGAAAATCTTTGTGCCACTTCCAAAAGATAAGCTGCATACCTGTAACAAGGAAGAAGCCATACCACCTGAAAATTCCCTATTAAAAGTCTCTATTTAAATAGTAACTGTACTTGCTTGCTTTTATGTTTCTCTACCAAAGAATAGAGAGGAAATGGTAGTTTTCCAAAGTAAAAACACTGAAAATCACATCAGCTATAAGATCAGAATTCATCAACTAGGATATTTGCTCATTCAGATGCTGTCCGGATCAGGCATGTGGTGGGTTGGCTCTAAGCCACCCACCATCATCACTAAGGAAGCCACGTTCCCTCTGGGGGCAAAGGCATTTGGACAAGTGGAGAGTTCCTTATTCTACCAGCAGGCAAAAGAGGAGCTGGGTAATACTTGGCACTGCATCTGATATAGAAAAATAAGGAAAAAAAACCCTTTGGGGTTTCTGTTTTTTGAGACATTGTTGCTTCTATCACTATGACTAGGAAATAAAGTATAGGAGGCATCACAAACTTTTGCTAGTCTTAGAACATAGGACTTTGGGGCATAGCACAGTACTCTTGACCATGGAGCTGGGATGCAGCCTTATGCTCCTTTCTAACTGAGTGCTCCAAGTAGCCAGCACCATTGGATTTGAGTTGTCACAAAATCAAAAGCATTCTGATATTCTTTGTTGTGTAGAATGAAGCATCATAATCAACACAAATGCAAGGCAGCCCATCTGTTCACCAATCCTTAGAATGTATTAAGATTTGGCCCCATCTTACCAAATAATATATATATCGCCCATCTCTCTTGAGGACAGCCACTTCTCCAGATTTCTTTTCTAAGAAAAAAACAGTTCTTTAGTAGAAAGGAAAGCCAAAACACCAATTTCCACTCTTAAGATTGTTTTAATCTTTATAAATCTTAAGTTTATCTAAAAACTAGAAATAATTTGACTGTGAAGAAACCACTGTCTCCCATGAACTGTTTGCTTTTATTAGCCTTCCCAAATACTGTTACTGATAGCTTACTTATAATCATGTTTCTTCAAAACCCATTTTTTTGTCTTGCCCATAATTTCAAATATATCCTTACCTGACCATATAAAAAACTTTGAAGTCTATTGCCTTATAATTGTTTTAGAATGTACTATTTCTTAAATTACTGAAAATGTTCATTTGCTAATGACTTTTTTATTTTTTGGCTAATGACTTTTATAACTGTGTTCAGCATTATAAGAAACAAATCAAAAAGTTAGTAAGTATTCAATTCAGAGAAGATGTTCTCTTTATAAATAGCTACAATACAAAGCTGTAAGAAACTGTTTTTGTTTGAAGTCGGAATCAGAATGACTGGTAGACACTCAGTAAGCCTGGAATTTGGTGTGAGAAATTGTTTCAGAAGCTCCACATGTGATTCTAATGTATACCTCTGATTTAAAGTCATTAGTAAAAAGCGATGGAAGGAGTCTGTGAAGGAGGTGGTTTCTGAACTCCTTCTTGAAGATTAGGTAGAATATTAGCAAACAGAAGATCTTGAATACCAAGCTAACACCCATGGACTTTGCTCAGTACTTTTGAGTTATTAAAGGTTTCTGAAAAGTGGAGTAATATTATCATCGAAGTTTTATGATAGAGATTAGAAACTATTACAAGAATTCTGATTTGATGTGATAAGGGTCCAAACCAGAAGCCATTTTTGTAAAGAAAAACTTGAGCTGAAGAATTAAAAGCAATTATTAGAAATCCTGTTTGCATGCATGTCTTAATAAAGTATAAGAGAAAATGCTTTTTAACTAGGGAAAAACAGGTATATTGTTTGCAAAACTCACGTTGATTTAACAGTTCTTGCACCCCTCCAAATTTCTTCTTGAAGAGGACAGCTATCCCCGCACCCATGCGACAATCCTCACTGATACAGTGGGCTAGAGAGTCTGTTTTGGGACATGCAAAAAGGTCTCCTTTCACATATGTAATCTAAAATGTGCAAAGAGAAAGAATGCTTTATTAGATACAGAAAAATACTATTTTTTCATATCCTTTAGTTTGTGTCCCCCACTACCTCTTCCCACCCCTCCTGCAATATGAACAAAAACCAAAACCACAGAATTTAACAAGTTTACCACAAAAAATTAAGGCATGTGTAAAAGAAAAGTGATGGCTGGTCCCTGACTAGGACTGTATTAGCCTTTCTTGAGTAAATCAACTAGAGAGAAACAAAACAGACGATCCAATTATTGGTTTAATTAAAAGGTGTTTATGCTTTTGACCTCAATTATCCTGAATTTCAGTTCACCGATAAGCTAATAGTTGTTACGCACTCTGCTTCCTTCTGGATCTTCATTAAGACTGCTGGCCATGACAGTCGCTATTTCCAGAATTTAAGTGTTTCTTCTGCTATGAGAGGGAAAAGCAAGTAAAAATGCTTAAGCAGCCTAAAGATATTATATTCAAACGGCCTTGACCACCCACTTATTAGTTTTTTTCCCCAATGTTTATTGCTGAATATGACTTCGTTCAGCAGCACAACACTGTTCTGGGACAAGGAAAAGGAAAGACGCCTGGGTTCGCAGGCTGCAGCGACCCGTTAGCTCTCTTTTCGCGCTTTCCAGGAGAGGAAGCCCAGGCGGTCCCAGACACGCCTCCTCGCTTCTCCAAGCCCGCTCCCGAGCAGGACGATTTAGGATTGTCTCCTTTTCTCGGCAGGACGCAAAAGCATTTCTCCAGTGGATTTGGCTTATAAATGCAACGGAGGGACCCAGCCACAGTCCCGTTAAGCCGCAACTAGTGTTCGGGGCAGGGACGTGCTGAGCCGCAGGGAGGGGCGAGGAAAGGCGGCCTCACGTGGAAGATTCGCTCCCTAGCTTGAGGAACTGGGGGAAGAAAGAGTCTAAAGATTCCCATTCTCTCTCCCACCCTAGGAGGGGTCAGTCCTGGCATCCCGTGGGAGAGTGAGTACAGGGGTCACTCATCACCTGGAAAGGAGTCGGCCGTTAGGACGCCCCCGCCCAGCGGGGAAGGGCTCGGAATCCGACCCTGTTAGGTGGGGAGCAAAGGACGAGCCCTGAAGCGGAGCCAATCCCGCCACAACCCTTGATTGCACGCTCCCAAGATGGCCGCACCCGCCCTGTAGCGGGGCGGAAACAAGCCCCTCTAGCTACCTAGGCGAGCTAACTCTCTATGGTGATGGCCGCGGCACTTCCGGCGGTAAGGCCGTGTTCTCCCGCCGCCGCCCGGGCATGCGTAACGAAACCCGACCGCGAGTTGGAGATAGCGACGCTTGCGCATTAGACCCAGGGGTGTGTCCCAGTGGCCTTTTAGAAAGGGATGGGTAGCTGGCAAAGAGACGATTTAGCGCCTGCGTGGTACTACGCTCAAGGAGGCGTTGAGTTGAAGGATTCGGTGCGACCCCAAGGCGCCTGCGTAGTTCTTTAACTCGAGAAGTAGTCAAATCAAGGAAGTGGGCGTGGTCTCGGAGGCGCCTGCGCGATGCTTCTCGGAAGAGGGGCGGGACGTGCCCGGCTGGGGTTAGAGGGCGTGGTCTCAGAGGCGCCTGCGCGGAGGCGGTTGGAGGGAGGCCCGATTCCCCTTTGTTCAGGTTCGCCATTTTGCGAGGCAGCGGCAGTGGCGGCGGCAGCGGCGGCTGGAGCCTCTGATTGGGTTTCGGGGTCCGGTACTGGAGCCAATCAGCGCGGGCAGCGAACCGGGGGAGCGAGGCACGGTGAGTATGAGGAGCCAATATCCAGCGGCCCAGAGCCGGCCCCAGCGCCCCGATTGGCGGGTCTCGCTGACCACTCAGGAGAGGCCCAGGCGCCCGTCGAGCCCGGGGAGTCGAGCTGAGCCTAGCCGAGCAGGGCGGCCGGAGGCCCCGGCCCGGAGCCTGCTGGCGACTCGGGGCACTCCCGGCCGGGGCCTGCAGGGGCCGCCCAGTGTGGGGATGGCGCCCCCGGGGGAAGGCTCTTTGGGTTCTTGTCCCTTGTGGGGTGCCAGTGCCAGTTGGGGATGCAACCTCTTTCCTCCGACCCTTATGCCTGGGTTCTCCGGCCCCGGACATGCGGGTGGTGGCCTTGACTGCCACAATTGCCCCTACACTCAACACAAGCGTGCCCTGGGCCCCGGCGGTTTTCCCCGTCCTTCCAGCCTCATCCTTAAATCCGCCCTTGTACTCTCCACGCCCCGACTCTCGGGACGAAAGGACCTCCCGCGGGCACGTGTCCCCGGCCCTGAGTGAGTCCGGGCCCCTGTGTCCGCAGCCCCTGTGGGTCAGCAGGGAGGCCTGGAAAATACGCGCGCCGCGGCCACAGGCTCGGAGTGCGGCGGGCGGAGCTGGCCGGCCCGCCCACGCCGCAGGCCGCTGCTGACCCGCTCCGCCACTCCGGGCAGGAGAGAGGGCCGTTGGTTCTCCCCTGTCCCGCCGCGCCCCCCCTCCTGGCCCACTAGCCCCGAGTCTTTGGCCGGGCGCCGTTACCACCCCCTTTTGGCTCGTCATTTCCTCTCCTCCCCGCCTCGCTTGTCCGGGCAGGACCGCACACCTCCGTGCTGGAGCCCAACCAAGCGGTCCGTCTGCCAGGCCCGGCCATTCGGTGCTTGGAACCTCACTCTTAGAAGATTGATAGCCCTGCGCATTCTTTCCCGGAGGCTGGACAACTACTGTTTATATTATTTGTCTTCTCCGTTGCTCATTCTGTGAACTCTTCCTCCCTTGGAAATGTACCGATTATTATTTTTTTTTCCTTTTACCTTTCTGTGTCACTTTAAAAGTATCTGACTTGACAGTTCTGGCCACACATCTGTCCGTGGCTTTTTTTTTTTTCCTGATATACTTCTAATCCCGAGAAAGTGTTGTGGACTTTTTTTGTTGGCTGAGGGGGAAACTCATCACCTATGGTGCTGGAGAAAGGGAGTGGGTAGAGGTAAATAAGAGCCGCACCTGCTTGATGGAGATTTACAGGTGAAAGGCAATGAGTCTAAATGGTTAGTGCTGTGTAGGGGCCAGTTTCCGTCCTGTAGTGTTTTAAGAGCAATCAATGGCTCCTGGCCACATTTTTGGTTAGCCTTGACAGTTGATATCTTTGGACGGAAAGAATGGAAGAGCATTGCTTTCAGAGAGAAGCATGTTCAGAGGCATCATATTGTGTTGTGTTTTTGAGGCAAAAGGATAAAGTAGATTAAAGAAGTGGGCAATAGTAATGAGATTAGGCAAGAAAGATCACCCATATAGATCTTGCCAAGAAATTGTTTAGAAGCAGTTATTTTGTCTGGAGGTTCAGGTAGAGGGGAATCTAGAACCTGTGGGTGGCATGCATATTTTTTTCCCTCCTAAGATTGGAAAGCTAGTTTCTCATTTGTGGATTGTGTCCCATGGTAGTGGTGGACTTCTTGGGGGCTAGAAAGTTGTTTTTTCTTGGGAGACTAAAAATTATTTTTACTCAGATGAAACATTTATTCCAGTCCTTCCTCCATTAACTTAAGTATATGGTAACTTTTTTTTTGTTTGTTTTAATCACATTTTCTGAGGTCAAGAAAACTAGTTCAGTATTCTTTCCACTATTAAAACTTGTTTTTCACTTTTTAGGAAGAGTTTTTCTTTGTTATTTAAATTATTTTTTAAATCCTATTAATTCTCATATTATTTGTAGTAGATGGGACAGCATGGGTTAGATGTTTTTAAGAAGCATTTATATTTGTATTTGAATCACGTTTTAATCTTGGTAGCTAAAAATAAGTACATTTGATCATTTTAAAAATACCAAATACTTTTGCCTGATATCTTTCCACTGTCACCCTTACCCGGCAGTGCTAGAGATCTAATGCAGGGTCTCACCATCTAGGCAAGTGCTTTCACTGAGCTACCTCCCCACCCAACTAGACATCTTTGCAAAAGGCATTTGCTCAATACCTCAAGATCCTCCACCTGTGTGCAGAAAAACTTTGTAGTATTGCCTGGCATTTTAGAGACAGTAGTGTGACCTTTCTCTGGGTGTGGGGCCTTATAGTATACTATTAATATGCTGAAATTTATATCCCCAGCCCTTTTTATTTTTTGAGAAAGGATCTCACCGAGTCTCCAAGGCTGACTTCAAACTTAATTCTCCTGCCTCAGCCTCCTGAGTTGTTGGGATTACGGGGGTATACCACCACACACAACTACTTCTTACTCCTTTACTAAATTTAAAAGTATTCTTTGAAGTCAGAATCTTAATCACTTTTTTTTTTTCTTTCCAAAATCACTAGAACAGTGTCTGACAACATGGTATACCGTACAGGAGAGAAGGGGCAAATTAGGAAGCTCCAGTTCAAAAACTTCAAGGGAGATGGACATTGGACAGCCCAATGTTGTCCAGCCTTTTATCAAACACACATGAAACTACCCTTTTCATGTGTTAAGTTTTGAAATTTTTAGTGAGTCAAACTGGCCATTTTTAATAATAAAATTTAGAATATTCAAGTGCATTTTATGTTGTATAAAGATAAGTAATGTTTCATGAAATGTTTTAGCAACATGTTTTGTAGTTTATGTGTGTACTGAATTGTGATACAAAGTGTATTTCTTACTGTGATTTGTGGTTTAAAAAAATTAAAAGTTAGAGATCCTTAGAAAAGTAAGTCTAATGTTTACCTGGTAATGATTGTCAAATGTGATCAGAGGGATTTTCATAGGCTTGCAAGTTGAGTTTCTGGAAGGGTTGATTTTAGAATGTTATATGTACAAATAGAATGGATACCTAGTCATTGGCCAAATTTCTGCTTCTGCAGTTGGAAATGGCAGGGCACAGATGCTCTGGGAAGAGAATTTTCATGCTAACCATAATAAATGCACACTCTCATTCTTTCTCTCTTGGAGGAAAAAAAAATCAAAACTTTGTGTTACAAGTAAGAGCTAGACAGACTAAATCTGGTTGACTTAATTTTGTCATAATCTTAGGCAGAGAAGCTCTTGAGGAAAGACAATGTGTCAAGATTGTGTTACAGTTCCACTAACTGAAGTTCACAGTAGTGAGAACATATGGCTTCACTGAAGCCAAATGCTCATAGCATCCACCATTAGTAGTGTCAGTATCGAACTCCACTCCACACTGAATCATCCCCTCATTAATGTTAACGAGTTATGCTAGATTTTGAGGCTTCTTCTATTTTTACCCTTCAGAGTACAGTGGATTTAAATGTTCTTAAATTGGAGCATTTGTATTATCAGAATAAACTAATTAAGAAAATCTGTATGTTATACATATATTAGTCATTCCCATGTGCTTCAGGTTATATTTTAGTCTGATAAGATGTGAATTTCTGACTGGGCTTCATGGTGTCTGTATTCTTGCTACTCAGGAAGCTGAGCCAGGGAGGCTCACTTGAGCCTAGGAGTTCAAGTCCATCGTGGGCAACAGAGCAAGACTCAAAACACACACAAATGTAAATTTCTGGAAATTAGAAGAAGAGAATTTGGTTGAAAATGTTGAAATACAGAGGACATCTCATGATCTTTATTTTTTAGTTTAAATATTGGGATACAATTTAGGCTCAAAGTATAATCATTATAAGCGAGCACTTTAATGAGTTTAAACAGATATATACCCCTGCATAACTACCCCCATAATGAAGATGTAAAACATTTTTATTACCAGGAAGTTTGTAAAACTCCATCTGCCTTTCTACAATCCAAAGGAACTACTGATCTGTTTTTTGTGTTTTTTTTTTTATCTCTAGATTACTATCTTATAGTAAGGTTCATAAAAATATCCTGACCTTGATTTTATTAGTTTAGAAACAGGTGTATTGTGTGTTAGAGACTGGTTAAAATTTGAGGAGGTCTAGCAGAGCCACTTAGTCTGGCTGATAACCTGATTTTTCTGTACTATATTCAGAGTTTCTCCAGCTGACTTAGTCCACCAATTCAAAAGAGACTGGTATAAAAATCAGAAGATCTATATGTCAGTATGCAGTGAAAAATATCAGCTTTACATATGTGTTAAGCCTATTAGTTCCCTATGTGTAAATCCAAATGGTGGCCAGAAATGTGCATTCTGATGGAGCAAAGGCAGTGATTTGGACAACCATATAGCCACAAGCCACTGTGCTAGGATGGCATAGCCATCCTGTCATAAATAAAGACTTGTATAAGCTTATATTGTACCTATTTTGACTAT